GGTACTGGCGATGACAGCAAGGATTGTTTTCATATTACATCTTTATTGTTGGTTTAATAGAAAAAATGTGCCTCTTTTGATACAGATTCAAAATAACATCGACAAAAACACAAAAATTACATAAATTTTTCTAGCAGCATGAATTAATTTCAGATCTTGTGACGTCACTGACCTTGTTAGAACGTTTTTGTAAAATGACTAAAACAGAAATACATATTTATATAAAAAGGTATAGCTTGTAGAGGGAGAACAGAAGCTCATAGCTTTAAGAAGTGAAGAGAGGCATTAGAGGTTTAACTGCAGCAACCTTACTGGAGGTTAGAGAAGGAAAGTTTAGCAGAGCCCTGCACTGAAATATTACTCATACACAAACATAAATGAGAATATATCACCTGCAAAGGTTTGAATATTTATGGCTGTGAAGACACGATGCCTACAGTCAGGATAATGAAAAATATGCATGAATATTACAAGGTTTCTAGAACATATACAGGTCTATACATTATTCACGTGTGACCAAATGCAATATAAAAGTTACACCCAGTGATTAAAGGTACTGGCAACAGCACTGAAAACATATTCTGGCTGGAAGCGGTTCACAGCATTCTTTGAGGTGTTGACTTTTTGCAAATCATGTCTCAGCTTCATAATATATAGACCTTCAGCTATCCTGTTTCACATATTGTTTGTCTGGTTCCAGGCTGAGGGAAAGCACAGCAGTTAAACCGTTAAGTGGAGATTGAGGTCAGAGGAGTGGCAAAATGGCACATATAGGAGAGCAGAAGAACAAGTAGTTTGAATTTACTTTAAAGTCCAATTTTCTTTTTTCTGCCAGAGGAAAGTCTAATGAGGTGAGAATGAGAGGCCAGGTTGTGTTTTCTGGTAACTGAACAAAAGATATCAGCAGGAAATTTGAGTGAATGCTAAATGAAAGCTGTATTCTTTTCCTGTTTTGGTTGCGCAATGGCAGATGTACCTCCCTTCTGGGAGATTCCATACCCTGTGGCTAGGCTATACAGGCTTATACAGACTCAACCTACACGGAGATGGTGTCATTATTTTATAGCCATTACATTGTGCAATCAACATTTGCATCAAAATGATACGTTACAGCAAAAACATTGTCTTGTCCATTGCCACTTTATAAGCCTGTCCTTACTTATGTGCTGCCTAGTGTGCCAAATGTGCCTCTCTGTAGCTCTGACCCGCATCGTGTATGCCCCAGACAGGCACCAAGAGATCAAAAAAAGCAAACATAGAAGAAGAATAGATGTTTTCATGATTTTGACTGCCAGGGAAAACAACAGCTCAAAAACTTTTTAATTATAAAAAAAAACGAAGTCTTAAAAACAATAAGTAAAACAAATGTAATGTTAGTAGTATATAGTTTAGGTAACATACAAGGGGCTCTACTGTAAGTTTAACTGTTCCTCAAACTACTGCAGGCTACAGCTCTGAGCGCTACAGGAGACAAATGCAAACTCAGAGTCCAAGTAAACATTCATCATTAACAGTTTGACATGTTCAGACTTCAGAAAGTGAAGCGGTCACAGGAAGTGGACCGTGAGCCCAGGAATGCTGCATAGACGAGAAGACTTTGGCAAGCCAAACACTGGTTGAGCAGACACCATGCACACCATTCAGATGTATTGTATCATTCTTCATGCATTCAACTCCTTCACTTTTATATATTATTTTAAATCTGAACTAACTCAACAGTTCTTCTTTTTCCAGTAGTCATTGAATCACTAAAACAAATCAATAATTAAAGAAACAATAAAACAGTTTATGGTTAATTAGAAACCATTACAAAGTATATAAAGTACATATGCTGATACATGTCATTTTACTCTGTTTGAATCTGCAGTAGGCTAATAAAAAGGCGCACTCAGCTGGTCCTGACCAGAATCTGGGTGAGATTGACTAAAGTGAAATTAGGGGTGGGCGATATGACGATATTAAATCGTGAAGGATTACAACGTGAAGACGATCTTTCAAACTGCAGAGATCGTGGGATCGTCTAGGGCACATTCTATAAATTGCAGTTCTATGCTGATGCACCGACGCACCAGACGTATTGACGTCGTCAACCTGACCGACCAATCATAGCGAATTACGGACAGTGACGCACTTTCCTACCCGCCTCCTTGTTTGTGTGTGTAGCGGTAGCACATGGAGAGCGGTGGCTGAAAGCCAAACGGAGTCGGTCGCTAAAAAAAATTCCACCTCCATTATATGGAATTGGTTTGGATTTTCCGCAACTGATCAAGCGCAAGCAAATGTAATTTGCAAAGTTTGCACAGAAACCGTTCGCACGTCGGGCGGTAACACGACGAACCAGAATGTTGTTGTTGTTTACCTTAAACTTTACGTTGTTTGCACATGCAGGCAAAACTGCGACTATTTGAAATAAAATCTGTTAAGAAAGGTTCTTCGGTCTAAATTGTCTGTTTTTCTTTTTCCAATTTAAGATCGTGATAAAATCGAAATCGTGATTTTATTTTTAAAAAATCGTGATATGATATTTTTGCCATATCGCCCAGCCCTAGGTGAAATTAAGTAAGGATGCTGTTTAAAAACATCCAGGACCGATAATGACTATACTGAAAGCAAAAAACGAAAATAATGAGTAAAAAGTCACATTAAGATCTGAAAAATTCACTGTATAGACGTTGCATTTGTGTCTCAAATCTGGCAACAAGTTGTGGTTCTGGTGTATCTGTTCAGTTACTGTAAGGCAGATTTGTTTTCTTTTCTAAATTGAGGTTACTGCTGTGACTCAAATGCCTTGCTATTTAGTCCTTCTTCAAAAATGTGTTGTAGAAAACAACAGTAAGCTGCTAGCTAACAAGCTGACGACATATTCAACACAAAAATATAGACAGAAAATATCAGTTCACAGTCAAAAAAAATTAAACCATTCTAGTCAATTTTGTTGAGACCAACACATTTCGTGCATAGAAACACAATCAGCCTTTTAGAGCTTTTGTTAACCAAAAGGCTGAAGTCCTCCAATATGGCTGCCAGAGGGAAAATCCTCTGTAGACTTTTCATTCACTCATTCATTTGCAAGATTCTGAGACTTTAATGACATAGGCCTCTAGTTTAGCAGCAGCAAACTAGTGCAACTTGTCAGTAACACCCAAACACTGCACTTTCACTGGGGCCGTAACAGAATTTTATATTAGTGCTGTGCAAACCAGCAGAATATCAACTTACATATCAAATGTTACCTATTAATCTATTATCATCTTTCGATTGAAGGTGGATGCAGTCATCATCTTAAAAAAATTCAGCCATTAGGGCGATGGTTTACTGATGTTTCATGTAGTTCTGCAGTTTTATAAAAGAATCTCCTGCAACCTTCATAATACAAAAATAAAATCTACAACAAATTTCACAGCTACCCATTATTTACTAGGCAAGAAGACAATGATTCTGTTAAATAAAGCAAATCGGAAACTGTAAATGAGTTATTTATAAGTCATGAAGATTTTAAAGATTTAATTGGACTGTTTTTAATCATTACTGTGCTGGAGCTTTATGTTCAGGTTGATGTGATCTGTTATGTTTTGTGATGACAATTGTGATGATATTGGTTAGCTTATATAGCTGGTACATGGACAGCTCACACTGCCCATAATTTTTAATTATCCCGACCTTTTTTTGTCTTTTAATAGCAGCTGCAACAACTACCAATAGAATTCAACACTGCCTCAGTCAAATTAGAGGCCTATGTTTTTGCTTTCAAACATACTTTACAATCTTTAACCATCATATATATCTCCACTCCATGGTTACGTGACTCCTATAACTTTAGTTAAGAGTATCAGACATTTAAATATCTGTATTTTTCATTCACAGACATGGAAAAGAGGCTGTGATGAGGAGAAGCTACAGTAACGACCACTCGCACTTTTGTAGGAAGAAGTAATAGAGGGCAGGAATGATGAGGATCAAACACAACAGAGCAAATGGATATAAAGGCAAAAAAAAGGAGGAACAATAAATCTCAAAATATACTATGCACCAGCTGATCATGGGGAATGGAAGTGTGAAATTTCCACTGTTTTGTGGTACTTAAACAGACACTAATGAGGTTTGAGAGGAAGCAGGGTTCATTGAAAACTGGTGTTTGGCAACTTTGTGGTGTGAGATTCAGACTGCAACAACGAACCACTACACAGGGCAGTGAAATTACAAAGTTAATGAAGAATGTCAACGTGTTCAACTAAACTGCTGAGGATTGATTGATTACTGAGGTATAGGTGTATGTTTCCTATTCAGAACCGTTTTTTCCTGTAGCATTAAACCCCTAAAAAACTACACTCAGCAGTGAGGTTTGTGTAGCTTTTAGTCCCTAAAGTGTTGTAACAAAGAAGCCGACTGAGTAATGGCAGTGAAAGCAACGAGGGGAATTGTTAGAAAGGCATACCACCTTAACACCAGGGCATTTCCTTTTCCCAGTTCCCCCCGATGCTATTCTGTTATGTACTGTATATAACCATAGAATGTAACTCAAACTCTATTATTGCAGCTCTTCACATCTGTTCATTAAAGTTCATTGTTCAGGAGAACCTGTAATCTAAGAGTGCAGAGGTAAGTGGTCCAAATGTTTATGAAATCTAACAGTAACTGTCCTCTTGAGGGAATATCTCAACGAGGCTGCGACGTTTTGCTTCATTAATGCTAACACAGTGAGTGAGGCTCTCATGACGAGACTGAACTAAAGCAGCAAACTGATTTATCTGTGAGATGGCCTGATGAGGGCTCTGGCCATTTGGCAGTTTTAATTTCAGTAGTCCCCTATTATCAACAGATTGCAACATAATAGTTTCATATTACATAACTGCCTCTACTATCCAAATGCAGTTGCGCAGGTGCTGCACACACACACACACACACACACACACACGCACACACACACACACACACACACACACACGCACACACACACACACACACACACACACACGCACACACACACACACACACACACACACACGCACACACACACACACACACACACACACACATCCACACAGAGGAAAACTTAACTTTTGATAATATGAGAAAAATCTATGCTCCCAATAGCCGTGACTCTCTCTCTCTCTTTCTCTTTCCACTTAAACAGGTATACGGTGTGCACACCACAAAACTATTGGTGAATTATTTCTCAAAGTCATAACAAAGAGTTTATGCAGATTTGTTCAGCACCCTGCTAAAACTTTAAAAGGACAATAAAAACTATAGAATTCAATTCTTGGAAAAAAAAAAAGCTGAAAGTTAAGGCTGACTCATGTGAGGACCTTGCATCAACTGTAGAGATTAGTTTCGGTGATTCGGGCAGGAGATGCACAACTCTCTCTGCTCACCTCTTTAAACTTTGACTGCATAAGTTAACCTGCCACATGATGCAAAGTCACTGACCTATATTAAAACTGTGAAGAAAAAAAATCGAACACTCTCGGGTTCACGGCATTGTTAATCAGTGGAATCAACAGCTGCCACAATCACACATCTGTCTCCCATGCAGGCAGGCTGGTAGAGTAGCTGAAGTCATTTCGCTAAGGTTTTAGACCCTGGCTGTGAGTGCAGTGTGGTACAGTGTGCGGTTGAGTTGAGGTGATTGCGTCTGGTGGCTGATCTCTCTCCAGTGACATTTACAACAGATCCGTGTGTTTCTCTTGTAGCTGTCACAGCAGAAAACTGTAGAATAGATTAAAGCAAACCTGCAAATCTCTCAAAATGAGCTTGTGTTTCCGCTACACAAACTAAGTAAAATGCAATGTGTTGAAAAAAATAAGATGCATGAGGTACTACATAAAGAAATCTATGAATTCATCCCTTAACTAGTTCTTATTCTATATGCCTCTTTATCTTAACAATGTGTTTATATGGAATCTATAAACAAAGCATAGTCATTTTTAGTCATAGATATGACTATATTTATGACTATAAGTATAAATATGAATGTATATTTATAGTCATTAATGCTGTGAAATCAGAAAATCCCATTAAAATCTCTTAATTTCTTCTCTCTTGGAGGTATGTGTTACTACAGAGTCCCCACTGATGAAAACAATCCTAGTTGAGACTGTGTTGTGCTTATCCTCCTTAAACATTTCCATCATCCTATCCCGATGTGCCTGCTTTTTGTCCTCTCTGCGGCTTGCAGCCAGAGTGCCCTATTCGACTTCTCTCCACAAGAAAATAACAAACAGCCAATGAGGGCCAGGAGGGGCTAAAGGTCAGCCAACAAGAGAGCTCTGGTTGGGAGGAGGGCAATCTAAGGATGAGAAAAGGTGCTGGTGGGCTGAATCCCTGGAAAAAAAAAAAACACAAAGCAAAAGGAAAGTAAACACAAGGAGAAGCGTGTGTTTTTACATATTTCCAGGTAAATAACATGTGCTGGGCATGTGTAAATGTATGTAACCTTTGTACGGTGCGACTCAGATGTGTGTCTCTACGTCAGTGTAGCCAGGCAGGATGTCTCCATTGGAGCAGCTCTTGGGCTCCTCCGCTAGTGGCGCAGAGGGCAACATGTGGGCAGTCGTGGATGTGTCATCCGGTGAAGCTGCTGCCTGGCCTCGCTGGAGCCGGGAGTGTATCAGGGGCACAAAGAAGAGCACCACGCCCCCCACGATAGGAGGCACCCCAGCCAGGGAGAAGGCCACTGTGTAGTTCCCAAAGTAATCATGTAGGAGACCTGGGAAGTGGTGGCAGGGGGGATACATATATTGTTATCCTGTCTTCACTCAAGGAATCCCTCTGAAACACAGTGTCTGTTTCACTAGGAGTCCCTGATGTCATCAGTGACAGATAGGCATCAAATTTACTTTTTTCCCCAAAGTGTAATGAGAAGATCAAAAACACTGTTATGTCCGTAAGTTTAAGGACAAGTGTGTCGGATTCAGAAGCATCTACCGGTGAGGCTGTCAACTGCAACCAACTGAACATCCCTCCCCTCACCCTTTCCTTTCCGAGTGTGTGGGAGAACCTATGGTGGCCTTCAGGTGACGTAAAAGCGCATTAGCCTGTTCCCTATCGTACCATGTGCCATGCATACGTGCACATATATGCACAACAGCATGTGGGCAGAACGATTCACATCCTGCCGTTGGTTCTGTACAACATCATATCGTCAGCACTGAATGCAGTGAAATTTCCTTAGACTTTGCCGGCTATTGTTTTGTCTGATCAATGCACTTTAAAAAGGTCGATTCAAGAAAGTAAGCTAAGCTCTATTATGATCTACTAACAGATGTAGCAATGCAAGTTACGGCCACAATAACTCTGTCATACATTATACATCATATATTTATAGTAATGAAGGCCTATACTCATTCCCCACCCCTGTGCACCCTGCAGGGTTGTGATACAATACAGCAGTAAAACCTCACCCTGTCTGTACTGTGTATATGCGCAGCCTATATTTATCCACTTGAGCTAAATCAAACAAACTCTACCTACAGCACAGACCAGTGGGAGGGATGTGCACTTACAGTACATTGTTGCCTGTTACATATATGTGCTTGCTCATGAACTGTACAGAATGTACAGAACAATATATGTTCCTACAGCAATAATTCCCCTGTGCAGTGTAAGTCTACACGTTATAATAATCTGCCTCATGTCAAGTACGCATGTCTAACTACAGATGATAGGCTGGCACTATATTTAGTTGGAAGGAAAACCATAAGCCAATTGAAACCACTATCCTGTCCTCGATGTCTGAATACAGTTCTTTGTGTGGACACAAACAGTGCATTCATTTGGCCGGTTAGTCTCTTATAGTGACTTCCCATATGCACTGGATCCCTAAAATCCTATGATTTGATCGTAGTTACTGAAAAAGATAAGACACTTTTCAGACATAAAATGAGCAGGGACGATAGGGTAGAGGGGTAGATAATTGATAAGATAATTGATAATTGATAAGTTTTTTCTCTAAACTACTCTCCTTCTGGCCTGCTCCCCCCTTCCAGTTTCTGCTGCCTAACTGCAACACACATTCTCTATAAAAAATATCAACTATTCTGCTAAAATCAATTAACTAATCACACATGAAGCCGGGATATTTTCAGTATTAAAAAAAATCCGCAAAAGATTATAATCTGATTGAATGACTGAATTATTTTCTCAATTCATCAATTTATTGTTTTGTGTAGAAAATGTCAGAAAACAGTAAAAGTGCACACAGAAAGTTTTCAGAACCTAGTTTTTTTGTTTTTTTTATCAACAGTTTTACATAGTTGCAGATTCATTTTCTGTTAATCAACTATTCTACTAACTATTTCAGCTCTAGTATAGAGTATAGTAGATGTAGTTTAAAACAGAAATCAGAGTTTGTTTTTTGTAGTAAATGCAGTCCCGGTATGTGTAAGAGCTAAAAGTGGTTGGAAACACAAAGCACAAGGATGCCTGAGTCATCGAATTAACCGTCTGCCAGCAATGGTCTTCTATATACTCCTGTTAATAGAGAGCTCAGCAGAGAGAAGGGGGAGGCAGAGCAGACAAATTAAGTTGAATTCTGAGATCCTACCCTGTATGTACTTTTTTTTCCCAAGACAAAACCCTGGAGGCAGCCTGCAGTTGGCTAAAAGCCCAAACCTCTCTAAATACAATTCGCTGTACAATCCATCCTGCCATGCATTCGTCTTACCTGGTCCCTACATCTTTTCTATCCCCTTTTTCTCTGCTATTATCAATCACCTTTTTGTGCACTGTTATTGCTGACATCTTGACGTCAGTGAAAGGAGCCAGATCAAAATGTTCCCTTTGGTATATAATGTATAAATGAGTGCTTTGTTGTGAAAAAAGAAGCGTTCTTCTCACCAGCGATGGGGGGACCTGCTGTCATGGGAAGAGCCATGAGGCCTAGAAGGTAGCCTATGGCCTGTGAGGCTTGCATGGGCCCAACTAGCTCGAACGCTATGGGAGCCATTATGGTGAGGAAGCAGCCGTCACACAGCCCCAGGAACACACACACAACCACCAGCCCCTCGAACACCGAGCACTGAGGAATCATGATGGACATCAGGCCCAGAGCCATGAAGGACACCACCTGAAACACACGGCGAGAACACAAGCTTTCAATGTATTTATAGTCGCCGTTCATTATATTGCACTGAAAACTGTAAGTTAGCTCATTTAGAGTACAACCTCCAGCTCGAAAACTGGAAAAAAAAGTGATACTGAAAACAGTTTCTTTGCCATGAAAATGACTTTCATATTATTATTATATTTTTTAGATTACAGTAGTTGCTGTTTACTACCACCAATTCAGTTCATGTAGTATGAGCAATGTGGGCAGGAACATACAACCGAGGAACTTTTATACATCTCAGTCACGTCATCTGTTCTATCGGCTGAGAAAGATATTTATATCTGTCCTTTGAGCTTTTGTTTACTTCTGCAGAAGTCTGCCTGCCTGTTCGCACAAATCTGAGCAGTCACATTATACTGAGCTCCGACTTCATGATTAATACTGTGAACTGTGAGGGAGGGCTCTGTTCCTTGACAATGAGCCGAAGTGTTACCTTAAAACCCTTCATAATTACCATATTGTAGGAGAAATCAACTCTTAAAAATACAGTGAGTGTTCAACTCTGGATAAAAGAAAGAAAAGAACAAGCCTTTCCATCTGTAAAAGACTCCACCGCAGCCAGTGTGTTTCTTTATTTATGACAGCAGGAGAGAACCTATTGAGCAGCACACAGTAAACACATTATCCTGTTCAACAGAAAAGATGATCTCTGCACAATTTAAATGGCCAACAGGGCCAAAGGGTCATTATAAACATGTATCTATGCGTGTTCATATCACATACAGTTGCACATTTTAAACATGTATGTTATGCAATTTCAAGGTTTTTAATTAACCTAAGATTCATTATGCCTCTGCTGAATCACTGTACATGTTTATCAACAACATGCAGCGTGAGTGTGCTGGTTCTGGCCAACTCAGTCAGTGGATTATGTGTACATTTGCGTTCTGCAGAAATTGCGCACATATACAGCAAGAAATGACAAATCCTGTTTGTATTCTCCTCTAAAATTGCTGTGAATACATTTCCCCCTTCTATTTACACTGAACTGAATCTTCCCTATCATTATCTAGGCCAGTCATTTTTCGTGCAACAACAACAACAAGGTTCCACAAGTGTGTGCAAATTAGTATCTGAGTTATGTTTATCTGCAATCTAATGAGACATTAATGACACTGAATCACTCTAATTGCAAATAAAATTCCAATGTTCAACCACCAGTAAACACTAAATTAGCGTTTTAATAGAATAACATTAAACAGATATGGATTCAGTGTGATAATATGAGTACCAGCGTACTCGGTGTTGAAAAAAAGAGACTTAAAGCACAAATGTTAATAGTTAATTTCAAGTCTTCTATTTCAGGTCAAATGTTATATGCAGATGTTTAATTTCCTCACCTGCATGTAGACCTTTTGAAGACCAGGAATGAGGTCACCAATCTTGCCAAAAGCAAGGCGTCCCACCCCGGATGAAGCTCCTATGCACACCAGGAGCACCCATTCCTTCTGGGTGTCCTTGAACTTTGTCTTCACAAAGTTTATCTGAGAAACGAAAAGAAAGACAGGCCATGGTGCTGTGTGAGATTTGGCAGTGCGTAACAGTGGATAATGGGATTGTGCTGCATGAGAAACACTCTAGAAGCTGCCAATAATGGATGAGTGAGCAAAGATACCACACAACTTGCTGTTGAACTCCTTCAGATGTTTTTGTGCTCTTTGCCTAAGAAGTCAATGACCTCATAAAATGGGTGTGCATTTTGGAGTGGTGGAATTGTCCATCCTTAACCCCAAAGCCACGGTCTAACAATAACAAAATGTCTTCATCCACAGACTTTTGGAACAGCAGGACAGGAAGACCCAACGCATATAGGTCAGACCCTCCCACTCCCCTCAGCCCTGACCCCCCAATTCAGATCCAAAACATGAAACCGCCCTCTGAAGTCTTTCCTGAGCATGCTGGTCCTTGTGAAATATTTGCTCTGCTTTGAAGGGCTCTACATTCATCAATGGCCATAGGATAGGCATGTTTAGGGATACAGAGAGGCCATACAGGAGAGGTTTCCTGAGGTGGTTGAGCCAATACAAAGGCCGGGGCTGTGTTTACATCTGGGCCTGGGCCTGAAACAACAGGCCTGACAGAGGGAGGCCGGAGCTGGAACATCCGACATCTGGATAGAGGGAGATCAACTTCACAGCTTCCACGCTGCAGCTTTACACTTCACCCTCATCCTTTACTATCTCACTATTTCACACCAGAGTTGGTCATAGTTCGTGTACAGATTTTGCAAATATACTCTGGCCGACTTTTGGACTCTAACCGTTATAGAATGCAAAATGATTGTACTTTGGGAGTGATTTGATTTCGTCATACCCTTTAGCAGTAAAAAAAATAATGTCAGTGTTATTTTAAATGTATTGTTAAAAGAAAGGAAAACAATGTCTTTTGAGAAATACTCCTTTTCCTCTCAGCCCCTGGAGGGGTTTGTCTTTGTTTGATTGACATCAGCTGGAAGGCTGAGCCCCAGCAGGAGTATAAGAGACAAAGTAACAAACCTGTCTGTAGTTTACAAGCCTTAGACAGTGTGTTGTCAGGAGTCATGCTGACTCGTGTGAAGTGATATTTGCATATAAGCTGAGCAGCTAATTAAGTATTTAGCCTGCAAACTCATGTTAGCAGTGCACTTTTTCCCAGTTGACGTTTGCTTGTTTGGTGGTTTTTTCAACCAGTTACAGGATGTGACTCGTGTTCATGTCATGAAAGCTAATGTGAGTTGTTGTTGTTCAAAGTCTGTGGCTTGTGTTGTGTAACAGGCTGCTGCCTGGCTGACAAAATGATGACGTTGCCGATTTATGCATGGCTTAATATGAAGCGCTTACATGGACGTAACAGAGAGCTATTGGTATTAATGCAAAAATAGGGGGCACCATCATGAAACTATAAAATGCGAAGTATGATTTTCTCCCTTTTGGTTTCAGATATTTACTAGAGAACACAGGACAAGTGATTTACAGAGCAGATGTGAATGCTGTAGCAAACACAACCATGAAATGAACCATGAAAGGACACTTAGCTCTGTCATCAGAAACCTGGCAGCTGATGGTCAGTCACAGCCATTATTCTGACAAAACCCTATTATCATGTCGATAGGAACAAGTCAGATCTTTAGCTTTCACCGCTCATATACCATGCTCACATGCATTCCACTGCCCTTCAACTGAGCCCTATAGAAAATGAATGGCATCAGACAAACCACGGTACAACAGGACAGCTCTTACAACAATCTCCCTCCCTCTCCACGTCTCTCCATTCCCCAAGTAGGGACATCATTTTTTATGTCAGACACATAATTGTACAACTCGGACCAATCAAAACCATAAACCTTGTAATACCAATGAAAAGGTCACAGTCATGTACCAAAAATACCTACGGATGTTATAGCATGTATTCTATATTAGGTCACGTTTTAGCACAGCTGAGATGGATGGAAGAGTGTAAAGTACACAAAGCTTAGTATCTACATGCGATCTTCCATTAACATCTATCAAATATAAACAAAATATGACAGGCTGTTTTTACTCTGGTGCTATTTGAGACAGAAGACTTGAACTGCCTTGGGTTTAGTTAAGCTAATTTACGCCAGGAACACACAACATGTAACTCTTCTATAAGCATGCCCATGAGATGTTCTTACCAGATGGATATATGGCACAAAGTAGCCCAATACAGCTGTAGCTACTCCAAACGCCCACACCCGGTATGTCACATTGTGAAACACACGCAGGTTGAAGTATTTCCTGAGCCCAACCAGAACTCTACTCCACCTGCTCCCACCCTGATCGGTAGCTCCCGACTGGGTTTGAGGTCCAGTAGGGTCAGGACCCATACCCGGTGGTCCCATGCCTCCTCCAGCAGGCAGTAAAGGTTTGAACGTCAACGCCAGCAGAGCCTGGACCAGCATGAAGAGGCTTAGGATCTGAAAGGTCCTGCTGAGGCCCAGAGGTTCCACCACCTTGTCGAGCAAAACCGGGAGGCCCATAGAGAATAGGCTGGCACCGGCTGTGACCAAGCCATTGGCCAGGCCAAGGCGCTGGCGGAAGTAGTGGCCGAGGATGACCAATGAGGGCTGGAAGGCGAAGGAAGAGCCACAGCCGAACAATATGCCATATGTGAAATAACGAAGGCCTAGGGAGCTGCAATAAAAGAGAGGAAGGAAAAGGAGGAGTAAAGTAACAAAAGAGAACAAGAAAAGAAGAGAGGATAAGATGATAGTGACGATAAGATGTTGAATATGAGCAGAAAATCATTATGAAATAACTCAATTATTATATGTCCAGTTGTTTTTCTGTAACATTAATTATTGTATAAATTGAATAGGACAACAATCGATGAAAAGATGATTAGATATCATGATTTAGTGGAAGGCATGCCACTAGACAGTGTAACAAAATTATCAAATGGCATGTCATAGTTTCCTAATTTCTGGGAAAAAAATACCTGATGACATTTGAAAAAACCCAGAAGGTCATCAAACAATCTGAAGGAAAACAAAATTACCTATTTCCCAAAGTGTGGCTCTGTTTCCTAATCCACTATCTATGTTTATGTCTTGGTTGAATTTTCAATGATAATTGTCTCCTTTTTTTTTTTTTTTTCCATATTTTCATACAAAATGTTTGGGTGATACTTTTTTTGTATTGTGTACAATATAGCAACGACATACTCTATTTCATTTCCAGCACCTGGATCAGGAAATAAAGCTGTAATTTCAGAAACAGGTTGAAAATCTTTGGTGGTGTGCAGCAGATGGATTACTTTTTCATCCAGATGGTTAGACACTTTGACTTTGAAAATTCTGGAAATTCCATCAGGACTACAGGCAGTGTTATAAACAATTTTCTCAGTTTTATCCAACAATACTAGGTATTTACTTTGAATGCTAACAGTAGGTCTGTGACTAAAATGTGATAAAACACCAGTGGCACAGACTGGCGCGGAAACAAGTGACGTCTTTAATAAATGTACACTAACTTACTTTGCAAAGGATGTACTGAGCAACCCTATAAAAGCCAGCAACGCCCCGCTGACAGCCGTCTTCCTACAGCCAAAACGGTCGGTGAACATGCTGACCACAGGTGAACAAAGGAAGATCATGCCCATGGCCAGGGCCCCGACCCAGGCTGCAGAGGAAGAGGAGAGGGGAGATAATTCATCATCAGTAATATGTAGAAATGTTGTATGTTGTAGCTAGAATCAGAAATAAATATAAGACAATCTTCTGCCTGTTTGACTGAGGCTAAAAGCCCATGCAACATGAAATGTGTGTGCTGTAAATCAACACATGGAAAGATATACAGGATACAATTCTGTGCAATACAACTGACATGAGGACAATGAGGAGAAATGGACTCTCTTTCTTGCATTGAAACAACGCACTATATCATTTGCCTTATGTAATCTTTCAACAGTTGCTACAGTTCTTGAAACTCCCCTTACTAAATCATATGCAGTTGGAGGATTTGCCTTTACTACTATATAATGTTATACAGTCAAACAAATGTAGTGTATATACAGCCCCACTTGAAACTGAAAGTATGGAACAAAATTGTTGTAGAAGAAAGATGAGAAAACAACACTTTTTAAAGCAATTTTATAAAAAAATAAATAAATAAATAAAAAATAATTTCCATATGGAAGATATTGTATGAAAATTAAAAAGGCATCTGCTGCTGCACTTGTGTGCAAGTCTTCATGATTGGCTTCATTTCTTTGACGGTTTGAACATGTGCCACCTGTGATCTCAATGGAGGTCACAGTATAAAGTAAATGTGTGCTTCATGTTGAATCTTGCACCTACGCCTACATTTCATAACTCAGACAGCATGAATACCTTGATACCTCTCTGTGACACTCCACCATCTGATGTAATTTGCTATATAGATGTATGTAACTCTGCTCTTTATTGTGTCTTTGCTTGCATCATGTACATCAGACACACTCTATAAGATTTTTCTCGTGGGGTACAAGCAGATCAACAAGTGGATCAAAGTGGATAGTTCTGGCCTGTGGTGTAACATCCATCCAGTGTTAAAATATAACGCGCCAGAATGATCCAGCAGAGACACTGCGTACCCTGAAGTGAAAACAAACAAATGTCTGGGTCCAGTCTCCTGGGGAGCAAAGGTAGCTTTAATGTCTACCGTAGTGTCTGGGCTGTGAGTCACACTGATCTAACAGCTCAATGGGAATGAGACCAGAGAGACCGATAAACAGACGGGTGGACTGATTTACCTATTTACACACACGTACAACAGTCTTTGTTGTGTGGGTTGTCATTAACATTCTGTACTATACATGTTGTATGCATACATAGTGTACACTACAAAGTTACATTTTTTGCAGTTTAAGGGTGGGACTGCACCTCAGTCCTCCTATAGTTTATTTATCCAAATGAAACAAGAGAGAATTCAGCTATTCAACCTTACTCTCAAACTCCCACCACCTAGCAACTTTCTCTACAAAATGTTCAGAGTTTCATCGTGAGGAGCAACAGAAAACACTTCATCGATCAAGGTAAAAGCATATGGTTGTTAACACATGTTGGCGTAACCAACATACATAAAAACACATATATCAAGTATACCACTGAGGGAGAAATCAGTTGCATGAGATCAGATTAACCCACTTTACTTCATAAGCCAGAGAGTTTGGGTTTGGCTTCCCATAAGCACCTTAACATTACAATTGCACCACATTGCACCACTGATCTAGAGAGCTAAGAACCGTTCTCTTAAGGGACTTAGTATCCTTTAAACTTAGTGTGTGTCAGATTATCTAACATTGTCTGTAACCCTCAACCTCAGGTCTTTCTGAGGTTGCAATCGGTTTCAGTATCCACCAAATCCTGAAGGAAATAGTTGGCTCCTCAGCTGTTAAATAGCTCACTTTGTTCACCAGATAATCGCTAACTTTACCTTCCTGCTATTTGGTGCTGGGCAAATGATGTCTGGGGAGCTTTTAGACTTTTTTTCCACAAAAAAAACATCAACATGCTGTGGCCGAAAATGACACTGGTGAGATCTATGAGAGTGTATCAAAACTGTAGTTGGGTTACAATTCTCTGTTGGTTCATCACTACAAATGAAACCTTTAAAAGCCAATATAAAAATAGTAGATTATAGCAGCTTTAAATATGCTGAACCCTTAACACTCTCACAACTGATCATGGAGCAACAATGTTGAGGAAAAAATCATGTTATGCTGTGCAACACATTTAATCTGTTTAGCTCTTTCCCCATATTTGCCCTGAGGGCTTAACATATGTCTTTTTGCAGTGTGGAAATAACAAGCTGAAACAGCACCACAATGGAAAGTATTAGACTGCTCTGTGTATGTTTTGTAAAAGAGTGTAAATGTTGCTCAATAATCTCTCCAGTTAGGGCTACTGTACTGTTTAGATGACAAAACATATGCATACATACAGGAAGGTAAAGTTGATGGTGGCATCAAGGGAAAGGCCAAAAATGACCCCCATGATTACAGTGGCGTCCACATTCAGTGGCGGGGTCCTTCAAAGGACGTGTTCCACAAGAATAGCCTGCAGCTTCAAGAATGTGTGCAAAGACAAATGGCATACAGTCAGAAATAAAACATACCGCCCTAGAATTGAATGACATACATGCATAGCTTTAAAAAGTTAATCACCCAAAAACCTCAGCTCAGCTCAAAACTTCTGACAGAATTGGGTTGATTTTAGTTTGGGATGCAGCCCTCTGGTGCCTGGAATCTCAGAAATGAATAGCCACAGTCTTGCGTGCTTCTGGGATCACTTTTAACCTTCACTGGTATTTCTCCAGCTTCTCATATTCTTTCTTAAAGGAATATATGTCTCAGCAATGGAGTAAATGTGCAACTGACAGCACTAATGCTTACCACCAAAGAGAGAGATAAAATAAACATCACAGATTACAACTTTAAACCAAGGCTGTTATTTCATGTTTGTGGTCTCTCCCTGGCTGAATATAATGTTACAGGGAGATGTTATAGAGTAATGTGGAATACTGAATAGAAAGGAACGAAGAGCAGCATATTATTGAAGACTAGGCACACGTAAATAAGGGCAAGGCTTAATTTCCAGAAGCTTTTTCTTCAACCCTTTACCCAGCTTCAACAGAGCCCTCTGCCTCTTCGAGAACTGGTGGCGCCAACAATCTAGCTCTGAGGACAGCAGTACAGCAATCCTAATTGCTGGTTGTTGTCATGTTATGATAAATTATGCAATCACTTTGTCTCAAGCCTGCATCCACAGGTTCATGGCTGGACCAATGTGGAGAGGATGGTTACAGTTACATTTCCTGGGGTAAACTCTACAACGTGCAACATACAAAAGCTAACAGAACTGCAGACCCATGTCTCTTTCCTCCACTCTCTTTTCTCTTTTTCTGGCCAACCCAGTCACCGAACCCCCATTTCCCTCTGGCCTGGCACAAGCAAAGGTCTGTGAATAGACTGAGAGGAGCGTACTCATTAGAGACAATTAGGTCTGAACACTTTCAAACAAAAGAAAAAGAACACAGCGAGGGACACTGAGGCAAAATGAAAAGAGGTGTGTGTGTGTGTGTGTGTGTGTGTGTGTGTGTGTGTGTGTGTGTGTGTGTGTGTGTGTGGATGTGTGTGTGTGTGTGCAGTGAGGGGGGGTTTAAAAACAATCCCTCTTGTTAAATGATGGATGCAGTTTGACAGCAATAGAGAGACAGAGAGACTACAAGTCCCATCTGTACATTGGTGGAACAAACGTCTTCCAGCAGAGACACGCTGTTCTATTTTAAAGACGTAGTGTCATTTAATGCACTAAGAGGTTAACCAAGGTTACTTAGTATAGCTGGTGTAGGACGTACAGGCTTGTAATTTGTGGATATCTTTGTTTTGTGTACTACATATATTTTTGTAAGTATGTCAAGTTGTTTTATGGCAAAACAAAACCTAACCAAATCATGTAAGTTTGAGTAATGCCAAAACTATAGCGTATACATGCTTGAACATGTGGCTATTAAGACTGGTCTGCATCATGAGTACATAACTGAATCTGGTGCCAGATGGGTCTTACATCTTAACAAATATCTTGCATGCCAAACAAACCAGCTTTTCTATTGCCGTGAGAACACTAACACTGAGTCATTCATGTTATTCAGGTCTTCTCACTGTGTTCCAGACTGACATATGTGATGGAACAATTACCTCACTACTGCAGTTGCAATATAGAGACAAAGATTAAGATCACAAAGAACTGCAGCTGTTTACGACAGTAGCAGCCACGGTGCAGTAACAAAGATCTGTGATAGTGTGTTGGCCCTATACTCCGGGACATTGGATTTCAAATGAAACAATGAGGCTAAAGTGCCAAATTTCAGCCTTTATTTGAGGGTGTTAACGTTCACATGAGATGATCAGTGTTGGATTTCTAGCTATTTAGCCCCTCAGACAGCAAGTAAAACAGGAAGTACTTTCAAAGAAAACTGTTTACAGCATGCTCTGTGGATTATTCATTGTTCCTGGAAAGAAGTGTCGCTGTTGACTTTTTCAAATGTTTTCAACACTTGGAGCAGAACCAACAAAATGTTATTCACCTCCAATTTATTTGGCATCAGCAGAGACACATATCTCTAAACTTGGGCAAATAAAACAAAAACTATCTGAATAGATAGATACCACTGCAGTAAGTAGGAAACAATATTTTTTTGGAATTGGATTGAATCAACCCTTTAAAGTTGAAAGAAATCCACATAATCATTGTTTTATTTCAAATCCAATGTGCCAAAACAATCAAAAACAAATGACTATCCAAATGCTTTCTGACCGCAGTGTTTGTGTCTAAAACAATTTCCCATAGACACACAGAGGAAATATTCTATCTGCTAAACAATGCAACATATTGTGTTCGAAACTGTCTTGGGTACTCACAGTTATAGCAACAATGGCCGTACGTACTTTGGCAACATTAAAGGAAACACGAAGGTACAAGACTATAGACTTGGTACGGAAGCCCATTCCCTCAAGGCCACATGAAATGCCCTTAGCAGGTGGTAGGGGTGGACAATGTGTTGTTGTTTGACATACATGATAATTTCAACTGAAAAACACACACTACTCAGTGGTATTACACTGTAGGAATCTACCAAAATAGACTTTTATAGCACCTTTGTTATGGTTAAGAGCGTACACTACCCAAAGACTATAACTACGGTTAGCTTTAAAATTATTAACAAGCAGGTCTGGTAGCATACTAAGTGATGACTAAGTGTAGCTATAGTTCTCTGAGGGATATTTGATACTTTGCGGACTGTAAGCCTTGTTTACCAGAGAAGAAGCCTGCAAATGTTTCAGGCGAATCCTCACTTAGCTTTTTAGCTTATCTTAGCTAATTCCTCGCAGGTCACCACTATCAAGCCAAATTCAACCTTCCTATAGGCCTATGTATATTGCTGGATACACCCTCTATGAGTACACAGTGAGAGCAGATTCTTCATTTTGAGACATTTCAACAAAACAGTGCACCATAAGCTACCACTGTGTGAGGGTATTATGTTCATAAACTCTCATCTTAGCTTCAGTTACCTAAATGGCTACCACAGAGTGCCTAAGGTCAGTTTGTGGAGTATTACAGATGTAAGACAAGTCATTTGGGGGACCAGCTGCCACAGTTATGTTCAAACAACGCGGCCTCAGTCCACGAATGTGTCTGACAGCACGAATCTCTGCATTCACCCCTGTTACACTTTCTATTTGCATTTGCACCTGCTGGAAAACTGCCTATAAATAAATGCATAAACTTTATTAATGAACCCATATTTAAAAAAAAAAAACAGTTTACCCCTATGTTTGATTACCTGCTTGTGTGTGGTGCCTTTAAAGACTATGATCTGACCTGAACCCATTCCCCTGCCCTCTGGAATGTCAAAAATGCCACAGTACTCCCTGATCTGCCAACCTAGGATTTCCAGCTACCCTGGAGATACTGAAGAAATCTGGGGCAGCAGAGCTACAATGTAGCACTCCACAGAAGAAAGAAGTCTGTTAATGAGAGGTTTGCTTGAGACAGCACAGACACCTGTTAGAATATTCTATTCACTGAGTTGATATTTGGCTTTTGAGAAATATCAGCCATTGAATGTTTACCGCATCTGATATGATGAGAGATTACATAATGACAACAGCTAAAGAAACACAGTGTTGAACACTGCAATTATGCCTAGTTTAACTGTTCATTTGAAGGCTGCAGGGATCCCTGAGTTTCCCCCGCCACTGGAAGGGTAGGACCTTTAAAGAACAGCTAATTCTATATGATTTTTTTTGTAGCCTGTGTTTCAGTTCAGTTTCAGTGTCCCATAATGTTCTAAACGCTGTTTCTCAAAACCCAGGCCTGACACTAATTCCCCCTAATGTTTTGAGTTCATAAATACCTGCTACATATTAATAATCAACAGCTTCAATACATAAATGTTTAAAAGTAATATTGATTTTACCCTAATACTGATGATTACCAAGCCAAATAACACAGAGACAAGGTTACACAAAGAGGACAGCAGAGAGATCAAACACAAAACTGGACATTTGAACACACCTTAGCGATTTTGGAAAATTTCATGAACACATAGTAATCTCTGCCTAGTTTTACTTGTATGTTGCCACTGTTATTGCACTCACTATGAGCTATTCTTAAGTAGTTTATATAATTTAATGTGTGTCAGCACAGAGGCACAGAGGTGCTTGTAGCCTTCAGAAATCTTTCCATTTTGTAACATATAGTGGTAAAAGGCCGGTTTCCTGTATGTAAGCCCAGGGCTAAGAGCTTGTTTGTGGTATGTGCATGTAATTTATATATTATCAGTGACTTTTCAACTTTTAATGGGTAACTCTCTTAATGCCCAAACGCTGCTGTCAGTATGATTTATTGTCTGTCCACTTAAGACTTAAGTTAGAGTGGAAAATTACTTTTACTGATGGAGCAGTGTTACTAATGGAGCCTCAGTTACATCACTCTCGCCCTGATGTCTGTGAGCAAGACACCAAATTTCTTAAGGAAAAAAAAAGAATAGAGGTGATGTTGCTCAGTAACTTCAGTACTAAACTGTATAGACACAAATAGGACACACTGTGTTTGGATGAGCCTCTGTTTCTTTGTTGGTTTTTTTTGTCTCATTAAAGCTCCCTACTGTTTAACACTAGGGACATATAGATGGAAATCATTTCTGGGATCAATGAAAAATTAATCACTCGCTCACTCAGTCCCTTTCTTCTGCCCCTTCACACGCATTCCCAGTTTTGCAAACTCTGCCGCAGCAGAGACAGTGCTGCAGTCTGAACTTCTCTCCCACATTTGCCGCGCCCATGTTCAGTCACACATCACCTCACAAGGGGCTTACTCCCCACTGATTGTAAAAGCACCACAGTTTTTGTTTTTGATTTGAAAAGAATGTTGTGTTGGATACTTGAACTCAGTACACACCTTGACATACCAGCATTTTCGGACCACAACAGGGATGAAACTTGACCGTGCCATGCTGTGATCAAGCAAAACAACAACATCTGCAACTCATAATCCACTCACCTCTCCTTCATTATTTTCTTTTGTTGAAAAAAAGGCTGTTCTAATCCCCCACCTTGTTACTCCTGAGCTATTTTGAAAATCTCTTGTTTACCCCTTAAGGCTTAATAAATACTCAGCATAATCAAGCTCAGTATAAAGACCTAATGGTAATCTCTGATCAAGATTTAATTACAACTCAGTCTTTTCTTGTCACCTCCTCACCTCATGGTCCCACGGGTTTTTTGCTTGTGAATCAGAAGTCCTGTTTCAGGATGTTCTGCACACGTCAATTTAACTTTCACTGACTGCACCCTCTCAGACTGGCTAGTTCAAAAGGAGCCTTTACAACTGTGACTATTATAGCTAAGCTGTTCCCCTCTGTTTTCTTCTGTTGCTGAGAGGAAAAGGTCAGGACTCAGCCGACTCGCTTAATCCTTTCACATATGAGAAAAACCAAGAATTAAAGCCAAAGAACGGCTGGAGATGAAATCCTCAACAAGCCAAAAAAAAAGGGGGAAAAAACAACATAAATACCTTGATAGCAACTGCCCTCTGTTGCAACATATTACCTCTGGTTTCACATGACTCTTGAAAAGCAACTACCAGTCCTACTGTTTCTGCTCTCAGGCTCAACATGTTCACAGTTCTGAGGTTTTCTATCACACAAAACCTGAACATAATGTGATGCCTTGTCACGCTGCCCACAGACACAGCAATTTCCTCAAAATGAATTAGAGATGACAAGGTGCAAGATACCATTAAAGATGTTCAACTTACATAAAGAACTCAAACGAGTCTTTGGTTTATTTTCTCTCCCCCTGTAACTGTCTTTACACTGACAATAATAAAGGGTTGAATTTGTTCCAGGGAACAGTCTTAGAACTGTAATCCCTTCCCACATCCTGACCTTAACCTTTGCTGGTGATTGTGGGACTTGACAGGAAGTTCAGAAAAATACCCACTCCTGTTACATGCTACTCCCCATCCTCAAAAATATTTCTTTCCACTAAAATCTGGGCAGATGGGCGTACAGCTTTACACCAGCTCCCGTTTGATCAGAACCAGCAGCTTGCCCAAGGAGAGGGTCTGTCTCATTCCTCAGATAATTATTTATTTAGTGAGTACTTCAGGCCAAAACAAGAGGCCAGTGCTCCAATATGTAACGCCATGAAGGGACCAAACCTCTGGACACCCAGACTTCAGAAGTGCTCCAGAGACAAAAGCAAGAAAATGTCAGTTCCCTATCAACTATTGATGGATCATCAGTCGTTGCTCCATGATTTTCAAACTTTATCTAGAGACTAATTTATTTGAATAAAACAAGATTGGGCTGTCTCATTCCTTAACAGTGACATCAGATTTCCACATTTCTACGTTATGGATTTCTTTGTCTGCTTTCCATCCTGCCTCCCCCATTACTCTAAATCACACTCAAGTCTGAAGTACCCAGGAAATAAAGAGAAATTATTTGAATATACATCAGTGAAAGCCTGTGATATAATCCTCAGCAAAATGATTTAAACTGAACCATGAAGGGAAACAGAGGGGTGAACACTGGCCTTATTCTGGTCATGTACGTCAGAGTCAGTGGTAAACAGCATCTTTTTTTGTTAATATTAGTAACTAGAATTAAAATATCACAAAGTCTTTTAGCTCTTTTATACTATATGTGGCAGAAATGTCTCCAGTTTGAATCGGCAGGTTATTTTTGCATTCACCACTTTGATGAAGTTACTTTTTGTCACACTTAATAAGGGCAGTATGATCACAGGTTTACAGAATGTTAAAATGTCTGCAGTACATTCACATTTCTATGACTTTCTATGTAACAAATTTCAAGCCTGTCAGGGAAAGACTTTATCAAAGGGCCATTTGTGACAAACTGAAATGGATTTGCAGCAACTGGTTAATAGATTTAGAAAAACAATGGTGTTAGTGAATAGATGACAAGTACACTATTAGTCAGTTGAAAGCCGGTTAATCATTTAACATCAGAGATGGTGCTCTCCAAAACATGCAACCCAAAGGAGGGTTAAGGGGCATTTTCAGAACGCATGAAGAAAAAATAATGCAGACATATGTATTGCAGAGGCACATATGTCATTTGACACTACGGTTAGTGTGCCACTTTAAGTGCAGGGTAAACTCACTTGAACTCAGAGCTGACCCACATCCATGAATGAATCATGAATGTATGTGTGTGACACAGTATAGCAGCCTATACATGATCAATTGCTGGTGTTACTTAGATAAAGATGTCATTTGTTTTTGTCATGCTGATGGTCTTTCCTATGATAATCACCCAGTGGTGATACAAGTTTCCCATATTTTAATTTTTCATCGATTGTAACCAAGCGTGCACCCAGGACAAAATGTACTTGTGTCCACCAGTTGCTGTGTTGTTTCATCTCACTGTCCAGTTCACCTCAGCAGACAGTATGGTACTACTCACCCACTTTGAACTGAGTCGTCTTGTCTCTTGGATCTGCATGCTCCTGTGCAAGCATCAAATGCAGGATGCCGAAAGAGTTTTGAATCCCGAAGATCGACCCATTGCACCAGGTTGCAGCGAGAACCACCAGCCAGCCGAAACCTCCTTCGGGTGGGACGAATCCGGCACCGTCGCCGTGCTGCTTCACCTGAACCCCCGCCTCGGAATCAGAGGGCGGCTTGCACCCGGCCTCGATCAGCTGCACGGTGCTGTCCTCCTGCACGATTTTGCTCTCGCTGCCCGCCGCCTGATCATCCTTGCTCCTCACTGCTTCATGGGGAGCATCTCTCTGCTCCATCTGGGGATCTGCAGCCGGCTGCTCCGTCCGGCAGGCTCCGCTGGACGGCTGTGGTTGATTATCTACCCCGTTGATCCCCATGCAGTCTGGTCCGGTGGTGAGGTTACTGTGGGTTCTTGGCGCACATGCATGAGATATAGGTCACTGACATAAGAGCACCGATTTGAGAAACAAATTTGATTGGCTATCTGTCAAAATGTGTAAGACAGACGGTCCTTTACTGACAGACAAGCCTTACACGCTGCATGTAGCCCAGGTCTGAGCGTCAACTTCAGCGGTTAAACTCCAACCTGCAGACGTTAAATGTGTCATTCTGGCCGGAGGTATGTCTTTTTCCAGGAATTAGCAGGCACCGCCTATTTCTCCTTTTAATGTGAGCCTGTGTTTCTAGGAACAGCCTATAAAGACTGACACTATGTATTTACTTTTGTTGGCTTCCCTGCTCAGTGCCAAATGCAGATCATCAACCTGTGAAAACGTCCGCTCAACCTCGACACCGTATCCTCCCGTCACGCAGTCCGCATACGGTCCGCAACATCCCGCGGTCGCATAAGAAATTATCAGGCGCTCCTCCTCTTTCATTCGATGTCTTTACACAACGTAAATGTGAAAAGGTAGGCCCGTGTGGGTCCCGGAGGCTGTCTCGGCTCCAAAGTGTCAACACAACTACGGCCGTCATTCAACCGCTCCCCCCCGCCTCCTCTCCCCGGCGGATGGTCGATGGGAACCAATAGTGGAGCTTCAGAACCGTTACGGTGTAGCAGGGGGACGAGTTTATACTTCGTGTCTTCTCGGATTCACGTAAAGAGCCGAGTATTTCTCGGACTACTGGGATGGTAACTACACCCTGTAGTTAATCACCGTCAGCGACGTCCCTTAAAAGCATATCTTCGGTTCTAAAGGTTTTAAAGGATACGCCAGCACGTAGCTACACTCACTGTTTTCATCATGGAGGGGGGTGGTGTTACTGTCGTTTACTTCCATCCAGCCACTAATGGTGTCTCTCTACACTTGACATTGAAAATCTTTGTCTTCCATCAGTGCTGAGAGTCTACTTTGGTTTAGACACAACGTCATTGTCTGTGATTGTAACGGCGGAGTATTTCGATATTAACAGCTACAAACAATCAAGTTACTTAAGTCGTTGCTAAAAAGTCGTAACTTAAAACTGTGGTGCTGTTGTGCCTGCTTTAATCGTTTCCTGCCCCATGTACAGTACCTGATATTTCCTGTACATACTGTACCGGGAGTAAAAGGCTACTTCCAGGTTCCCGCCCATTTCTGGTCTAACGCTAGCTAAAAAACAGATGGAAAGTAACTAAACAGGCTATATTTTCACAAATACTTGTACTTTACTTGAGTGTTTCCAATTTGTGCGACTTTCACTTCTACTTCACTCCATTTCAAAGGAGAATGTGGTTCTTCTTACTCCAGTGCAATTATTTGACATCTGTGGAAGTGACAGAAGTATTTAGATTTTTACTAAAGTAAAAGCAACACAACTGTAAATACTCTTAATTACAAGTAAAACTCCTGCATTCAATGTCTTCCTAGAGTGATCTATAGTTACTAGTTCCTAATGCAGATTAAGACTGTAAAAAGCAAAACATATTCATCACATTTACACAATGCCATGTACTGTTACAGTATTAAACTACCCAAAAGTATATAAAAGAATAATAAATAAACCAAACAATAACCGATAATAATTATATACTTTTAAGTAGAATTCTAAATGGAAAAGTTTCACTTGTAATTGATTACTGGTGGAAGAAAATTGTAAAACTAAAATACTATAGCACAGAAGTGTTAGAAGTAAAATGTGCTTGAATATCAAAAGTAGCTACCCATGATACAGAAATCTCTATAATAATGCATTATATTTTCTAAACCAATGATATGTATGTAATATCTCAACGTCCAAATATCTAACACATATCTATAGTTGTAATACAAAGGTAGTTGAGTAAAAAGTAAGATATAACCCTCTGAAATGTAGTGGAATGGAAGTATGAAGAAGTGTAATATATAAATACTAAAGCAAATTATTAAGTATGAAATACCTAAATTAAGTACCTCAAAACTGTACTTAAATGTACTGTTTGAGTAAATGTACTTCCTCTCTTTCCATCACTGTAACTGAGTATTTTATCACTGTGGTATTGCAACTTTCATTCAAATAAAATTTTCTTCCTTCAGCACTGACAAAAGCACAACATTTTATAGACTAAAATCAGGCTAGAATGATTATTTTGTTTCTGAACATGTAGGTCAACCGAAGAGTTTCTAAACAAAAGCTGCTCTTCCTCTACTGATTCATCCTTATGAGATTAGAAGGGTGGGGGCAGAGTGAGTCTCCAGGCAGAGATAATTAAAGGGAAAGAATTTCACACTTCAGCAGTGTTCTCAAGTGAGTGAGCAACAAAAACCCCTGCTCGAGGAAAAACTACATTACAATCCTCTTCGTATGGCCTATGTATACTATGTGAGGGTTACAACATGACAAAAAAATTTAACCGCAACATTTCAATCTAAATTTATTTTTTTTAATCTCATGTGTGTTTGGACACTATTTCTGCCTATCCTATCAGTCCATTACATTCAAATTAATAACCTCAAATAGGCAAGAACCACTGTTTTCCCAGAGATACTACGATGGATTTTTAAAAATTCATCTGGCCACAGGAAAGAAAGTAACAGTAACAAGCGTTTACCACTAAGAGGAGCTACAGCCCTGTGTAAGGTATTGTTCAGGACTGCAAGCACAAGTGCAAGGTTGGAGGTCACCCAATAGTTACATTCACTGTAGTTAATCCTACAAAAGCTTTCCTAATATGTTCAAGGTTCAATTTATTCATGAATAAAATCATGAAAATCTCACCACCCCCATCCATATCAATCAGTGCTGACAAAACGTAAAAGATTAGCCATTGAATAAACAATAGATAACAAAACTATACTGAACAATAATTATATTCTATATTATTTTTTAACTGTCAGTTAAAGAACCACTTCAAACCCCAGCATGAAAAACTAGAATTGGTACAATTAGTAAGTACAGAAGACCTCTGGGCAGGTGGCCTAACCCTTCTGTTTAATATAGGCTAAAAAGGCCTTGACCTAGCTGATTTCTGCTGCTTATAATTCAAGAGTTGTTTTGTGACTTTTTGCTGTCAGTGATCAGTCAGTGCCCCTGTTCTCTTATAATGGTGCCCTAGGGTGTAGGCCAGCTGTTATTTCATAGTCATTATTTCAGTGATGTGTCCAACATTGACACCATTGAAACCCAAATGACTGAACTAAGGGGACCAATTTAAACTCATTCAATGTACATCTTCATATAAAGGAAAGTAGATTTATTGTGACTGAGTGATATTAACAACCAAAAACATGCTGGAGTATATACTGTAAATGCTGATTATGATCTAGTGTAGTCCTGCAGTCACACTGGAAGGTAAGCAACACTTATAGTATGGCCAGCATTTAGATTTTCCAGTCACACCTCAGGGTTGTGTAATCTATGTGAAATGTGACACATTTTGTTGCTCATCATAAAACATTTGAGACATCTCAACATGTGATGTCTGTGTTTGTTGCCATAATATCGCTACTTGATCCAGTCAAAAGAAATCCACTCTGTATTATTTTGTCAAATGAATCGGATACGTGAAAGAGCATTTAGCAACCCTTCCAAAACAAAAGGTTAATATTACTATTACCCATTTCACCTGGGTGGAATTCAACTAGATTCAACTGAATTCCACTTGTATGTTTATTTTCTGACAACCAGCCTACTCTTCCAATATTACATTATGATACTCAAAAAAATCTGCTCTGAAGTGGTGGAATGTGACACCTCATCATCAGATGGAGCTGCTTCATCATCACATGCCTGTTTCCAATTAGCCCCTTGAGGAACAGGCTACATAAGATTGCATGGCCCATTCTGGCTCCAGGGGCAAAAATAGCAGTTCACACAACTTCACAGAGTCTGGTTACAAGAGTACCAAAGAATTCCTTTTGAATGAAATGGGGGCAAAAGTGGGACACAGCCAATGGTAGTGCTTCCTGTTTAAATTGGAATACTTTAAATCCTCAGAGAGGTGTGGGTAGCAGAGGGAATAAGCATCTGAGAGAGGCCCACACATGTCTGAGTCTGAGAAATGAAGGCTGACTTAGTTGGTGAACATGAAAGTAGACGACTAAACAGATGGAGGGGAATTCCTGCCTTATATGACTCTAATTTTATTGAGCAAACAAAAGTATCTGGTTTCAGTGAGAATTTACAATGCTCTGGTGAAATTGTGCCGCTGTCTACAATCAAAAGGTTGATGGTGGTGATATGTACAGATTCCTGTCTAGTAGCATGCTCAAACACGCTGCGATGGTGGGAGCGGGAATGCGCAATGGCAGCATAGTCATTATCTAGAGTAGTATGACTCACACCTCATTCAGCTTCCTTTATTCCTCTGGGGCCTTGGAATCACATTTTTTTGCAAAACTTCAGCACACGGGGCCTCTCAATGACAGCAGGAAATAATACAGAATGAACACTTTCTCCGTAGTGATGTCGCCCACTTTTAAGTAAACTATTTAAAAGTTCAAATGTGAGCACTGTGGCATCATCAGTTCATGACAGCATGTTTGAAACTGAAGACAAGGGTGTGAACTAGATCAGTGAACTGTATGTGCCTGCCTCCTTTGCTGTGCTTGGTTTCATGTGAGACATGAGTTTAGACATTCATCCTGGAATGACCCACCTAGAGTGTTACTGAACAAACTGCTGCCCATTAGTCACTGACTGCCTCTACTACTGTCTGTTACATACAAATTGTATGTATGACATAAGCTTGTCCTTTTGTCCTTTTGTTTTTCTTTGTGCTACGTGATAAGGACGTGGATCCTCAGAGCTAAAGTACCAGAGCGGAGGAACTATAAAGTCGATCTGAAAAAGAGGCTAGAGATAAGCTGAGCATTTCACACACGTCTGTTTGCCTCAGCCTTGTCCTCTTCCTTTATTTGAACAAGCGAGGAGTTCTTTTATACTCTGGTGTAATCCTCCCTACACACAAGTATGTGCACTTCAAGTGGACATACATACAATTGAATACTTTTATATTATATTATTAATATGAAACTTTGCTCATTCAGAAAAGCAAGGTCAGATGTTTCAGCACTCAAGCATTATTACTGTCACAAATCCAAGAGTATAATAATATTGTACACTTACAGTTGGAGGTTAAAACGCCTCGTGGGAGAAACGGCCACATAAAGCTGTGTGATGAAATACCAAATAACTGCTACTGTGCTGGAAATGTTTGAAAATTTCAGCGATGAAAGAAGTTGTACTCAGAGTACCTGGAGACGGATTGTCTCGTTCAAGGAATGAATGAAGGTATGAATCTCATAAATCTGTGATAAGCCACAGCAACCTGTACCACCCAGTTGCAGATGGGTTGCTGAAACTTATCAGTTCCTGATGTTGTGGACAGGGGGACAGACAGGGTGGAAGAGATGGTTGTCTCATGCAGCCAAAACAACCCGAAGCTTAAAGCTGAAAAAACAGTAGGGATGAGGGTAGACGTCATGAGAAAATCCCCTCTCTGTCACCCATTTATAGCCTTGGCTACAGAATATACACATTTCTGAATCTTCCGCTGGAATGTGTTACATTATAAATACATGGTTTTAATATATACATACTATTATCAGGCTTTTTATTGCCCACCAACCCAAAGTAAACAAGTCTGCAGTCATGCCAGCGGCTCTATGAGGCTATACACAACAGTGCTTTGAGCTAAATGCTAACATGCTCACAGTGACAATGTTAATCTGCTGATGTTTAGCAGGTATAATGTTCACTACATTCTCCATCTTATTCATCATATTTTGCGGGTGTCATAAACCAAAGTTTTGGACAAGTTGAAGTTTTGACTTGATATCATGGATGAATGTCTGTGTCAAATTTTCCAGTAGTTGTTGAGATACTATTCTAGAGGGAAAAAAAATCAGTGGATCACCAAAATGATTATTCAGTCATTCTTTTAGCATTGTGCTATTGTCTTCCAGCCTGGTCCCTCAACACAAAGGAACTCACTGAGCCAATAGCAAGACTAACATAGCTTATAAAATCCATGTCACTCTTCCCCCTTGGCCTCACAACTGTACTGCATTTTCCCATTCTGATGCCTTAACTTTTCAGAACTACACAAATAACAGTCATCAGATTTTACTTTCTCTGTGCAACACTTACTGCTCCACTTCACACAACACAAGACAGCAATGCATATAGGTAAATTTCACATGCATATATCCCCATGCTGGCTTACAACTATGTCCAGTTTTAACTCTTGTGTTATTTTGGTGATTGTTTTCAGTTTTAATTGTAACATGATGGCCACCTCATGGTGGCACTATAAGAAAAGTCAGTGACTTGCTTTATCCTCTGGGGACATTGAATGTCTGTGCCAAATTCTGTGGTTATCCATTTAATAGTTGTGGAGATATTTTGGTCTGTAAAGAGGTCCCAAGGGGTGGATTGACCAACCAACAGTGACACATAGTCCCACAACGAACAATTAAAAAAATTCCTGGGAAATTTAATGATCAGGGGCCAACCTGCTCTACCATCTGTGCCCCCCTCAGTTTCATGTAGAAATATGATCAGTTAAATAGACCAATCTGCCGCGGGAGGAGTAATTGTACTATTCCACTTTAGTTCATCTTCTCAATGTCTGGCACAAAGCAGCCCACCCAGCGTAGTAGATCACGGCTCTGTGTGTCATGTAGCTCCGAGGAAAAGATCGTTTGGATGTAACATGCCCTCCATGTGTATGACATGACATGAGTCAAGAACTTCAACGTCGTGACTGATGTTTCTCACCCAAGGCACCACCTTTTTCTGAGCATTGCCACATGGTAAATGTCAGAGAACTTCAGCTTCTCCCTCAGAGGCAGTGAGCAACAAATTTAACAAAGAAGTTGTTGCAAAGGGCTTGTCTCTTCTTCACAAATATCTCCCTAATGCTCCCTTTAAACAGGCACATATGTTACCGATTTAGGCATGGGAGGGAATCTAAATTGTGACACATTTACCAGAAAGCAAAATTCAGCTTTAGACCAGCTTGAAATTGTTGGTCATTTTATTTCAGCATTTTTGCAAAGTTGTAAATTTTTGAGAGGCATATTACATGTGTTATCAAAAGCTGCATAGGCTACCCCTCAACTATCCATTAAAATTAAGTGGGTCTAGAACTCAGTTTTTGTGTGTGATACTTTTTCTCATTTTGGATTCAGTCACGTTCAGTCTTAATCTGTACATCTGTACAACCATGCATGTACTGGACACACAATCTATGAATCTTCACACTGCATTTTCTCCCAATTACTGTAAGTACATAAAATCCAAATAAAAAAGTACATAAATCTGCTCTGTATTTCCTGCTGTACTGTTTAAATGGCTATAAATTTAAGTCTCCCTTCAGTGTTTATTCTTCTCTCAATAATTTAGTGTTTCTTTCCACTCAGCCCTTATCTTGTGAACATATTATTACATTATTTGCCTTTATATGAAGTTGATTTATATATGCAAGTGCAACTTCTCACAACCTCACTTTGCTTTATGTTGCTGGTTTTTCTCATGTACATGTACTCAACAATAAACAGATTCTACGTCAGCTCAACTGAAATTTAAAGAACGGCATTTATTCTAAGAAAAAACAGAAAAAGTCCCTGGGATTTTGTTTCTCTAATCCTTTGGGTTCTGTAACTGGAAAACAAGGAGGCTCCAGCCCTTGTACTTTGACTCTCATCTGTTCAACGCAGGCACTTGGAATAAGAAAGAACTCGCCCACTTTGCCAGCTTCACCCCATAAAAGGACGAGAAAAAAGAAAGCTTTTATCGTCCCCCTCCAGCTTGTCACAATGGTGGCTGCAAGAGGTGGAGGGGGTCTATGATAAACACACATGCATGCATTCTTCATCCCCCACTCTCAAAGGGACACATAAACACACACTGAAGTGACCTTGTGTCCTGTTCATTTCACAAGAACACCTGCAGAGTATGCGGGGTGTTTATCTCTTAAAAAAGTTATCAAAAACAGACATCTATACCTAGAGATTACACAAACACATACTGCAACAAGCACAAGCCTGCCTCCTGCTGCTGCTCAGCAAATTAATATGCTGAGAAGCACACAGGCATGGGGTGACACACACACACACACACACACACACACACACACACACACACACACACACACACACACACACACAAAGTTTCTTGACACAATAATCGCAAGAATTCCACAAAAAAAGAACTATAAAGGCGCAGCGATGGCTGGTTGGAAACCCTGTTGAGACAGAGGGAGAAGGGAAAAAAGACAGAGTATGAAAGAGTGGAGAGGGGAGGGAGAGGCACTGAGCAGAGAAAATGAGGGGGTGTTGAGGAGGAGGAGAGAGACTGAGGGAAACAACTTAAGACGGTGAAATCTGAAGAGTAAGTAAGCACACGGTGTGAGCAGAGAGACCGGGAACACGAGAAAAAGACTTGAAATATCCATCAACATCCAACAGGTACAGTAAAACATTTTGAGCACTTTTCTTTGCTTTACTTTAGTTTCCATTCACTTTATCTCTACGGTGATATGTGTGTTGTGTGTGTTGACCAGACTGAAACCACAGGAGTGGTTACATGTTTATTCTTAGAGATTCAGTCATCCGTTTCAGCATTTCAAGGCATGAGAAAAGATATTCTCGCTGATTCGAGTTATTTTCAAAATCAAGCAGAGAGTAAACTGAAATCCTTCTACTTTTCTGATTCAGCTCTGGGTTCCCACAGAATTCAACGGGCTTGCTGCCAGGAGAAAATGATGGACGTGCTGATTGGGTCACCCCCAATAGTTGTATTTTTTTCTTCCAGCACTCAGCATTTATTTATCTAAAGCTGTTTAGGGATGGAAACCAAAACATTGAAAATGTTTGATTATAAGCAAAGACATTTCCTAGCCATAAACTATGGGGAAATAGCATCCTAGGGATTTCAATCTGGCGAAATAGCTTTCTTCTATTTTGACTCTCAATTTTTTTGTTTGTTCTTCTCCTCTTTGACATATCCAAATAACAAAAGGGGGGAAATCTTGAAACCTCATATACTCTATCTCTTATCTTTAGGACCACTTCAGATACTTCTTGCCTTATACGTATGTGTTTGGACCTTCTGTTAACAGTGTTAATGATCTGTTTATTGCTGTATTAGTTTTTAAATGACCAATATTTTTGGAAGTAATAGTCATTTGTTACTCCGTAGAGATGGCGTCACTGGGCAAGAACCTGGCTGCACTTCTTCTTTTTCTGAATGCATCACCACTCCTCCACTACCACCTCCTCATTCATGCCGCCTCAACTTCCCGTCCCGTCACTCTTCCACGAATCCTAATTATGACTGACTTGGGCTCAGATGATGACTATAAAGATGACTACCTTGACAACCACAGCTCTCCTCCTGAAGTGCTGTCCTCTGTGAATATTCCCCAGCTCCACCAGGAACCCAAACTCTGCCAGCACAACCCCTGCTTAGAGAATCAGGAGCCCTGCGCCAAGCTTTTAAAGCAGACTGGGTGCCTCTGTCCTGGTATCAGTGGGGCTGATGAGCCTCCTCATTCACCACGCATTCAAGCACTGCTGCCAATCACTAAAGGGGATAACAGGGGGATGGTAGAGGTGCAGTGGTGTGCTCCATCCTCTGTGGTGACTGGGTACAGAGTGGTGTTTGAGGGAAGCCACGGTGATGCCTTGGAGTTTGGAGGTGCTCGGCGGCGAGGTTTGGTGGGATCTTTGGAAATTGGGACCAAGGTGTGTGTGGAAGCGGTGAACAGTGCAGGACACAGCACCCGCTCAGAGTCCGCGTGTAAGCGGTATGACCCTCCTGAATCTTCTGATCATAACCTGTTTGCCTGGGTCATAGGTGGAGGAGTCGCCCTCCTGCTACTCATCATCATAACATCTGTGATCCTATGGAAACATAAAGTATGTCAAAAGGGAAAGGAAGACTCCACTGATGGACTAGGGAACCCTTCTTACAGCACAGAGGGAACTCTGTAATACAGACTATTGCAGCATGGATGATCCAACCCAGTTACAGGCCCCTTGAGATGGAGGGGGGCACAGCAGTGTGATCACGAACAAAAGTCAAACAGTTCTGGGATGGTCTTGTGATTCATTAGAGAATCAAAGTTGTTTACATTCCTGTTTCAGGAATCGATATGTGATCAGATTGGGAGAGTGCAGCAGTGTTCATGGAAAACCACTAACAAATAGTTAATTGTGTTATATTTGGGTTAAAACTACAGGTTTATTTGCTGGCAAATTAACCTCGGTAGGTTTATTGTAGTGAATTAAATTGTAAATAATGTTTTGAGAATACTTACTGACTGAAACTTTTGTAATAAACTAACAATTATTTTAATAAAAAAAACTGTGTATAGACTCTTGTGGTTGAATTTTTTGTTTTCATTCAAAAGATTTTGAATAGGCCTAGATTTTATAACATACAGATGGGTGACAAAGGAAAGGAAAAACCATGATAATGTAAACTGAGTTGTTGGGCCACAGTGAGAACCACAACAGCTTAAATGAGCCTTGGCATCAGATGGTATGCTGTTTACTCTGGGCTGTGTTCTCTGAAACACAAGACACTGAGACAGCCCAGACAACCAACTGCCAAATAACTTGGAGAGCTGGTGCTATTTTAAAGGCAAAGTGTACAACACACCAAATATGGATTTGATTTAGTTTTTCTCTGTTTACTTCACTTTGTATGACGTTAAGTGATAATTAAAAACAATTGACGGCATTAGTTTTGGAGGCATGTGCCATTCTTTATAGGGAGTAGTTTTACTTCTAATACTTTCAAGTGCTATTTTTATACTTTTGCCCACGATTTTGTATGCAAGACTTCTTGAACGTTTTGCTATTGTTACTTTTAGTTAAGTGACGCACCTAAATATAACTTCCACAACTGTTTATTCAACTCCAAGTTCTTAACTTTTATTTTGAAAGTCTTGAAACAATACCGCAAGAAGTTCATCTAATTGGCCAACATCTGGAGTCATTCAAGCTAAGTCCCGCCTTTCCCCGGTGTCTAAGCCAATGATTTGCCGTCAAACAATACGAGGAAGAAGGTACCGTTCATGTCCACAGCTTTACAGACGCAGGATGGCGAGCATAGGTGAGTCCTTCTTTCACCTGACTCACTGAGATAGACATAATTTAACTAACTCTAGTTTATCTGAATTGGCTGAACAACTTTAAAGATCCTTAATTTTGGTTTTAGAAACCTGCGTTGAGTTAAGTAGTTATCTAACACTTGTTCAGTTAATGAATAAACAATCGTATCTTAAGTGGCATTAATGGTATTTTCATTGTCAGATCGTGTTAACAATTGTGGGTCTTTTGCAACTATCTAGGCAGCGATTTGATAAATAATGAGAGAGGAAACAATATCAGGTTGTAAGAACATGACTGATTCAGAATGACTCAGCAGGCATTAAAGTCTTGTGGGAATGCAGTCTGGTTACCCAAGCAACAATAAACCATTTCCAGTATTTGACAATTAAATGAAGCTGATAAATCTGATAAGCATACCAAAGGCAATGAGGGTATTGTACCTTTATTCCTAATTTTTTGACACACACACACACACACACACACACACACCCACACACAGGTACACTGTCTGATAAGAAAAAGCACTAGCACCAACATGAGGGAGCCGTCTTCAGGAGATGAATGCACCCTGATAATGGAGATGATGATTTTTTTTTCTTATCATGATCACCAACTTGTATCCTGTCCTGGTTCCAGACCTATTCAGTTATCACCTATGCTTATGATTTTTATCAGTGATTCAAATACAGTCAAATATCAGTGAATGATGAAAGTGAAACCAAATGGGCATTCAGTCTGATTTGCTCTCCAGATAGTGATTGAGATACCTGTAGGTATATGCAAAAGTTTGGGCACCCCCAGGCTAACCATATTTTCCATATTTTGTTGATTTTTGAGAAAAGAAGTAAATTCAACCCCAGCAGCAAATAGATTAGAAAAAAATTGCCTTTCTACAAATGTTAATCAAGTGTCACTTTTTATTTCATGAACTTAAAAAAAGAATGATCACTTAATTGTGGCATGCATCAAAAGTTTGGTCAAATTACTAAGTACTTAGTATTTTTGACAACTTTTAAGCATGGGGATGGAAAAATTATTCTTTGGAGTTGTGTGGCAGCCAGTGCCACAGGAAACATTGCACCGACAGAGTGAAGAATGGATTCCACTAAATAGCAGCAAATTCTGGATGCAAATGTCCTGCAGTCGGTCAGGAAACTGACACTGCAAAGAGGCTGATTTTAAAAACAGGACAATGATCCAAAGCAGACATTAAAATCCACCGTGAACTACTGTGAACGGCCCTCACGGTCCTCTGGCCTGAACGTCACTGAAAATCTGTGGGTAGATTGCAAACATGCTGCGTGTGCAGAACAGTGTAAAAACATCTTTGAGTGTGAAGTGATCTGCAGGAAGAGAGGGGGAAAATTCCTAAATCAAGAATAAAAAGACTCTCAGCTGCTACAAAAGGTGTTGACAAGCTGTGCTATCCGTCAAAGGGGGAGTTAATAAATACTGACATAGTGGGGTGCTCAAACTTTTCCACATGCCACAATTACTGTTTAATTTTTTTCCTGTTTTTTAAGTTAAGTTAAAATGAAAAGTAAAGCCCCATAAGCATTCAAAGAAAAGCTAATACATACAACTGTAATTCAAAATCTCTGTACTTCAGTGTGTATCTCATTTTATTCATTATTATTGCTGTGCCACTAAAAACACAGTCAGTAATAATAATCATAATAATAATAATCATAATAAACACATTTTATTTATGTGGCACTTTTCTTAACAATGTTAGCACAGTAGCCCTTTGTGACTGAAAATGGATTTAACTAATAATGGAAATATTGCATTTAATAATAACATTGACAAACAAAGGGTATTAAATGTGTATCAGTCACATCATGGGTGATACCCAGTGCCCTTACTGTTGGGTACATTCCTAATTATCGTATTTAAAAAAAGTTTTTACTACTAACTTTTTTTTTGTTCTTCTTTTTAAGTTCGTAGTAAAATCTTGAGTCAGGCTTATTTAAAGTGAATTCTGCAATCTTATAGAAGTTTTCAACAATGACCTCTCAGACTTTGCAAAGGCTTTGATGTCCTTCATCTGTCATTGCCAGTTACCAAGGAAATCTCTTATGAGGAACTGAAAGCGCTTCTGGGAAAGAGCCAGAATCTCCTCCTGGTTGATGTACGCAGTAAAGAGGAAGTGGATAAAGGACATATTCCAGGATCTATTCACATCCCAGGTGAGCATCTTTTTAAATTCATTAAATCTCCAAGGTTAAAAGGCATACAGTGTTAACCATTGTCTCATCCTGAGCATGAAATTTCCCTTTTTTTCCCCCATTGTTTCCACTCCCATACAAACCCAGACCAAAGTGCTTCCGCATGTGTTGTTGTGTATACTTAATATGCCAAAGTGTGCCTTGTTGAAAAAGCATCAGTCTACTGTAGGCTGGTTCTGTATATTTGTTAATGCTGATAGATGTTAATGCTGTATGTCCATCATCTGTTCAATCTCAAAATGCTTCTTCCTTTCCTCCCATTATTCATTCAGTTGATAAAGTAGAAGATGCTTTTACAAAGGGGCCTGAAGAATTCAAGGCTGCGTACGGAGTAACCAAGCCAGCGTTGGACGCCCCGGAGCTGGTGTTTCACTGCCAGATGGGAAGGCGAGGGGGAGTGGCCACAGGCATGGCCCATGAGCTTGGATACGCAAAGTAAATAAATTATTGTTTACTATTCATAATACCCACACACACACCCACAGCCCATCTTGCTTTTAAACAGGCAGTGTTTTACATTAATAGCCCTAACTATTATGTAATAAGTAATTATGTAATGATGACAACTCTTCTATTGTGTTCCTCTGTCTTGTGTTTCAGTGCACGCAATTATACTGGAGGATACAAGGAGTGGTCTGAGAAAGAGGGGAAGTGATTTGTGTGGAAGGAAAGCCTCGTGTACAGATGGGTGACAAAACAATGGATAAATCCACATGTAGTGTCCCAGTAAGGTGTTGCTCCACCTTGAGCCTCCAAAACAGCTTCATTGCTTCCTTGTCATATATTCTCCAACTCTACTGGAGGGATGAACAACATTCGACCAAATGATATTCTCCCATGTGGTGGTTTGGTGGTCTCTCATATGTTTTCCGCTGGGTTGAAATATGGAGACTGTGAAGACCATTAGTGATGGGTTGACAAAGTCTCGTTGAAGCATCAAAGCTTTCAGGCCAACTGTGTTCAAAGTGTTCACTAGGGACACATAGAAATACTACTGTCTCCACAAGCTCCTCCGTAATTTAGCTGTGAACATTTCAAATCCAAATATTTACATACTGGAAACAAAGCTAACATATAACTATTTTTTATACACCTTAAACTTTTCAGTGAGCCCTCGTTCCCCGTATGGAGGCATCTGCATTTGTTATGATTGCACTCATTTATTCAGGTTTTTCCTTTAATTTCTCACCATTCTGTATATTTATACAAAATGGCAATTGTGAAACCACGACAGACAAACGAGAAACATTTCGGTGTCTTATTTTTCATCTTTTGATACTGTTTTGTTTTCATAGAGTGCACCATGTATGAATGAATATAAATAAAATTATGTTATTTACATGTATTTGTGTGGATCATTTATGAGAGCTCAATATCTAGACATGCAAAACTAGGAAAAGCACTCCCTGCAAGGTAAAAATATGCACACAGCAATTGCATAGTACAATCTTGAAGCCCTTTACATTTACTGAGTTTGGCTGTTTGTTTTTTTTTTTTTTGCAGACTCATGACTTCAGTATTTACAAAATCCTACTTTATTACAATTATCAAGTCATGGTCATTTCCTCCTAATTTATAGACTACCGATTTAAACTTCATACCCAGTGCTGCAATGTAACTAAGTATATTTACTCAAGTATTGTACTTAAGTGCAGTTTTGAGGTACTTGTAGTTTACGTCAGTATTTTCTTGTCATACGATTTTATACTTGTACTCCTCTACATTTCAGAGGGAAATATCATACTTTTTGACAGCACTGTATTTATCTGGCAGCTTAAGTTACTTTACAAATGACGATTTTTGCATACAAAACATATTAAGAGCTTATAAAATATGATACTTTGTTATAAATGAAACTTGTAGTGGAGCTGAAATGATTAGTTTACTGACAGAAAATTAATTGGCAACTATTGTGATAATGGTTAGGTCATTTTTCAGGTAAAAAACTTTGTGGTATAGTTCCAGATTGTAAATGTGAGGATTAACTGTTTATTCCTTTTAATAATTTCTATTTTGAAATTTGGACTATTGTTGACAAAAGCATTTCCCGCTACTTCCTGAATTGTTACAAACCAAACAAACAATTAACTGATCATATATAAAATAATTTAAAAACTAGCTCCACCTCAATTGCCACAGTAAAATGCTGCTTAGGCTACACATGAATGAATAGTACTGATATAATCCTCACAGGGACCATTTTGTTCATTGAGTAGGCTACAGTACTTTTACTTTTAATTTATTAAGTACGTTCTCCTGATTTTATTTACATACTTTTACTTACTATAACACTTTAACACTTTCAAGCAAAGTACTTGTAATCGAGTGTTTTTACAATGTGGTATTGGTATTTTTACTATTTACCAAAGGTATTTACTTCCTTTGTAGGAATATTTACTGCGACTTCAAAGGTGTAGTAACTTTACTAGCTGTGATATTGGGTGCAGAGGGACTTCAAGTGTCGATAACTCTGCTTTAGCAAAGTAAACCAGTGGGAAACTGCATCTGAAATTCATTATCGAGTGCTGTTGTGTCAGTACACAAAAATGCTCAGAGAAATACAGCAGGTAATGGTTTAAATTAGCTGTTCCAGCTAGAAACACGTGTAAGAATGTTGTTTAGTGTTGTCACCCCCAGTTTGTAAATGTTTAGAAAGTACAGACTGGTCATCTCCGGTTGAAGCTAACTAGCATAACATATGTAGCGTTAGCTTGCTAAGCTAGATGTTTGTGTTTTATGTAATTACCTCTGCAGGTGTTGAGGCTGGTCATGCTAATGGGAAAGCAAAGGCAGCAGCATGGTTTTAGGAGGGCAGGAGGGCTTTTGGTTCTTCTGTGGACTGAAACCAGAACTTCTGTTCAAAGTTTATACTGCACCGGTAAGCTTTAACTCTTCTCATAATGGTCTCACAATGTGAACTGCTCCATCAGGTTAAACTAGCAGGAGGATGACATGAAGTATCCCTTGTTGTGTGGTAGAAATATCTGTTAAATGTACATGAACAAAGGAACAGGGTAGAAGCTATGCATTTGATCACTCTTATTTTAAATATATGTAAAACAAAACAAAAATATCTTAGTAAACACCTCCAAACACTGAAACATTGAGTTGCAAGCACTTTAACACTACTACCAGTATGAGTACTCATTTGACAAAAAGTGACTCATTTTGGCAACTTTATGCTTTGTGTTGTGCTTGAAGACCTGAAAGTCAAATGGATGAAGTTATGACACATTAAACTGTGGTCTGCTTCATTTGTGGTGAATGAAAGTACTGTTGTGCTTGCTGTTGCCTTGAAAAGACTGTCACCTATTTATGCTTGGTTTGACACACAAATCTCTGATCATTATCAGATGTTACAAGGTCATATTTATTTACATTTACATTAGCCTTGGATATACACTATTACCCACAGTATCAATATGAAAGATTAAGTTTTGTTTTGGACCAAATGTGTTTTGTTTGGGGGGGGGGGGGGTCTCTGTTTGCCTACCACTGGTGCAGAGAATGGAGTCAGAGGAAATTTTCAACATCCTTAGACATGAATTATAAAATAACATGGGTATTAAGTAACCATAAATAAAAATGACACTTGAGGTAAAAATCTGCCAGACATAGTGAAAACACATGGATATCAGATGTTTAATTCCAGAGAGATTTGACAAAACAGTGCAAGTCATCCAGTCCATATGTATTGGCACTGATTCAAGCCTGTACGGTAGAAAAAAAGCTGTCAGGACGAGGTGCAACAACAAAGAATATAGGTCTGGTGTACAGTAACAAACTGCCAGGTGTTGTAACAGCAGTCCCCTTTGTTGTGCAGTTGCAGCTGCTGGTCCCTGGTGCACAGGGATTAAAATGAAAGCACTCCAACCTGGTATGTACACACATACAACATATGCACTCATCTTCAGTTTCTGTATCCCATATGACTCTTTTTGCCGCATAAGTCCTCACAGATTTGAAGGAGAGCATGTTTCCCTGTGCATGGCTGTGTCCTGAGCCCGACCCTGAGGAGCTGTGTTCCTTTACTGATCTGTACGGTTCCCTCAGATTACTCCTCTCCTTCCAGGTACAAATAATAGTGACCCTTTACTAATGTTAAATCTTGAAGTGAAATTTTTTCATGTATTTCCTTTCAAATGTCATTAATGATTGATGATGTGACACGTTATCTCATTGCACTATACAGATGAAAGATGCAAGACTTTTCAGTCCAGAGTGTCAAGCTCATATAGAGGCATTCCTACGCATATTCAGTTTGGCTAATGCAGGGGTATGAAAGGATCTGTTTCCTTATTTACAGTTATATGATAAGGTAGTTAGCAAAAACATGACTTGTTTATTTTTCACAGATTAAAATCCACCTCAAATTCAAATTCAACCAGAAGACCCTCCAACAAGAATTCAGGTTTGACAGCAGCAACAAAGGCAAAAGTTAAAACTTTCTTTTGGGTAATTGTAGGGAGCCTACCTTACATTAAATAAGACCACAATAAAGCAGGTTACTGTAAAACTGTGTCTTTATATAACATTTATTTTAAAATGTGACCTATGCAGTCTCTGTGCATTACACAGTATTTAGATAGTTTGTTTAATAAAGTAATTTATTGAAGTAAAATTTAGCCTCACACACAAGGATTGCATTGCAGAAGGATAGATTTTAATAGTGGCTTGCAACATTTTTGGCTTTTGGAGTTACAATATAATAACAGCCACAAAGATAAAAGCTCACTACTCCAGTTAATCTCCCATGGGTGGAAGGAAGTTCATAATTTTAAATGATCAATGGGAATGTCAGCCTCCATTTTCATGAAGTACAAACATTGTGTTCCTATTCATGCAGAGTGAAAATCAAAAGTAAAGTTGCACAGGCAGACGACCCATCACTGATCTTGGATGTCACTTGTAATACACAGTCAGTAATTCAAATTTTTAATATTATTTAATGTGTGGTTGTTTGTTTGGATCAATGTTGTCTTACTTTTAGGAGGGAAATTACAGATGTGTAATGAATACAAGTTTTATCTTCATATATCAATGCTGCAACAACATGAATACTTCTGTATATACTGTATGCCTGCTTTTAACTGCAAAAAGTGATTCTCTCTCCTCGGGTTCAAAGGCCTCCAGAGTGTGTGAAGAAAGGATGCTGGTGTCAGGGAGGACACCCTGTCCTTGGAGGCAGGTTACCACTCAGTATCCCACCACAAGCCATGGATCAGGGCCTGTACGGGGAGCTCAGCATTCAGCCTGTAACACTTCTCAGGCCCTGTGTGCTGCAATACCCCAATCTGGCAACCCAGCTCACTCACATACAAATATCCTTTGCTGATCATTGTCATTTTGGTGGTGATTGTCAGGTACAGAATCTCTTGGCAGAGTTGTAGACAGTGTTCAGTACAGCTTTTTCCAGATTACGTGGTTCAGCTTGCCTCTTAAGACTGTGACCTCCAGTCCGCACTGGGACCATTTGCAGCTGAGTGTGCAAGCAGGGATGAGGGCCAGCCCCTCGAAATCTGGGGCCATGGTACTCTGCCTGAAAAAACAGGCTTGCTCCCTTTGGATTTGGAGTCAGTCACTGCCCCAAGTGAAGGAGCTAAAGTATTTTGAAATCTTTTTTATGAGTGAGGGTAAGGGCCGGATTGTGCATAAAGAACCAGTTAGTCAGACGTGTCGTGTGACCACGTCGTAAATCAAGTGTGTTTATAGTTGTTCTGCACATCCAAACACAAAGGCATAGTGAAAAGCCAGACAGAGACATTGTGGAAATGCAGTACTGTTTAAGTAAGTGCACATTTTCAGACAAAACTATACTGGCAGCTTTAGATGCAGTGTAAAATCAACAGATTGGTGCTATAACCTAGCAGTAATGTGGACATTGTTCTGGACTGTGGTTGTGAAGAGGCAGCTTGAAGGCGACACTCTTGATTTGCTGGCCAGATGATGTTCCAGCCCTCACTTTTGGTCAAAGTTGTGGGTAGCAACCACTGCTGCTTTGTGTTGACTCCGTGGAGGTGGTCCAGGCATCTGATTTGGATTAGTCTTCCTTGACTTCACATGCCTCTAGGTGCTGGTTTACAGCCCCAGTAATGTTCCTGTTACAGGGCCCTCCACCTTCCTCCAGAACCTCCCCGCTCATCTGGGCTGTCAAGAACTGACCCTGCATGGCCTTCGCTGCTCCTCCTTCAAAGGTAGACAGCAACCACTGATGGGAACAACACATACTGGTAAGGGCCAGTTTTAAAGGTTATAAATTGAACCTGGAGTAGGTCCGAAGTCCGGGACAGTTAATCCTGCCCTGCAAAAGTAACGTAACACTTGAAATTTGGATTAGATACTTCTTGATAATAAGGTTTGAAATGAGGCCTGAGAGTAATTTAAACCACCTGTGCTCATTTGTGAGAGACTGCACACAAAACCATGGCCTGCAGCTGCTTATAAAAACTTAATGAATCACAAAAGGCCCATAATTTGAATCAGAAGAATAAAACAAGACCAAACAGTGGAAGTAGGAAAAAAGAACATTCAATGAAGACGATAACAAAAACCTGTGACGGCACTTGAAGAGAATAGACTGCAAGCTTTCACAGCAGTGAAATGATTGCCACTGCATTTTACAAAGCTGTTTCCTGTGAAATATGCTCATATGCAAGTAATTCGCATAAGTGGTTTATGTCGATTGCAAACATTTGGTTCAGATGCAAAGAGTAGTGTTGCATACGTCCACGTCACAAAGAATTCTCACAACAGAAAGTTGTTGTGCAGAATCTGGGGTGGAGAAGGGGTTTACCATGTGTTTGGCTTTGACACAGGATGCTCTGGTTCCCATCCTGTTTTATACTAGACATCAGTGTTTAAATTTGTCCTTTGTAACTTTGACCCTGATCTTTCCCAGACCTTAACTAAGTGGGTTTCAGCTAAATGATAATGTCATAAACAGAAAGTTTGACTTGATTATGGTGCTAGATGAAAAGTTAAGGGCTATTACAATTCATCCTGAGGGAAACATGAATGTGTGTACCATATTATGTGGCAATCCATCCAATAGTTGTCAAGGCATGTCATTAAAAACCAAAAATCATTATAAGGACAAGCATGGTTATGGAACAATTCATCCTCTGGAGAAGATGAATGTAGAAAATGTCTCAGAAATTTGTACAATAGTTGTAGAGATATTTCAGTCTGCAAAGAGGCCCACAGTTGTGGACCAGCCAACCAATAGGCCAACGCCACTACCAAGGCTAGAAATGTAAAATGTTATTTGCTGATGCAAACTGATTGCATTTATTACATGTAAATCTCCTTTCAATAAATACCTTGTAGGTGTTTAATCTTAACTAAAATAGTCCAAATAATCTGTATGTTTCCAGGCAACAGTCAGCATATCTGAATTAAAACCAGCCTAATCACAGGTTTAATTTAAGCCCTGGAGTAACACAAGATCTTCTTTCAGGCAAACAGTTCAGTTAAATCAACAATAGGTTAAAGTTAGTTAAGTTAAAGAGTCTGACAGCTCTAAATTATGTTTGAGAGAGTGAATTTGGGTTAATCTGATGTAATGTAAGGAGACACTTTAATCTGGAAACTAAATTTAATCACTGCTAAATGATCGCTGTCTGGTACAGACAATAGGATATAATATAGTGCAGTACAGTTATGTGTAAGTTGTATCATGAAAAAGCTAAAAACTGGCTGATTTCTCAGAAACTGCTGTTGCATTATTTTATTTTTTCCCTTGTAGATTACACAGTGAATCAGAACCACAAGCAAAACCACAGGTCTACAGTAATTACAAGTAGCTTATTCATCCACAATACATGATAAATAAAGTTTAAAAAAAAAAAAAAAGGTCTCATAGTACAGTCTACCCCAGTCTCTGGCTGTCAAAGAGAAGATACTCTCCCACAAACATGTATGTTGGTAAGGTTTCGTTTAATTTGGTATGAAAATATTAAAACCAAACATTAAAACATTACCTGCGCAACCAAAACCACAACCCAAAGGTGTGTCTTCCATTTGCTGTAATTGTACTAGTGTGCCTTCAACCAGTGTTGACTTGCAATGTTTTTACTGTTTCATCACTAATAATCACGCTTTCCTTCCATTCCCTCCTCATTATCCGTTTTGCAAAATAATATTTTAACTTCCTCTGCAGATCTTGCACTCAGTGGTGGCACCGTGTATAAAATAGAGCAAGAAAACTCAGAGGAAGAATCACGTCTTCCCACAATGCAGCAGAGTCTCCTGCTTTTTCTCTTCCTGCAGCACAGTGACCCCTTCACCTCCCAGATCTCTGATGTTATGGGTGAGAGACAACTGCATCATGTAGACTCACAAAATAATGGGTTGCAGGTGGCCTGTCTTAATTTTTTCTTCTACAGCTGAATACAAGAATAAAATACTGTTTTAGCTACAGTGGTAACAGGGAAATCTATTATCCTCTTACAGATACAGAGGCACTGATCGAGCACCACCTGGAGGATATTCTGAGCAACAACAGACAGGCAGTCACAACAACCCTACAGACTGAGCTGAAAAACACTCTGAAAGCCCAAAATCGCAGAAAAATGGCAAGTCTGAGAAACACATATACACTAACTGGCCTACTAGTTTTATAAGATGGTGTGTGGAACAATTATTTGACTAATTGATCCACAGAAAATAAGTCAGCAACAGTTTTGACCATCAATTTATTGATATTGTTTATCAGCATAAAATGCCAAACATTTCCTGGCGCCACCCTCTCAAATCTCAGAATTTGCTGCTTTTGTTTTTGTTGTTAATTATTATGAATGGAATATCCTTGGGGTTTGGACTGATGGTGGGTCAAAACAAGCAATAATAAGATGTCACCTTGGGTTCTGGGAGATTGAAATGGTTATTTTTCATTATATTTTGACATTTCTATTAATCAAATAAATTATGAAATTAATAATTTACTAGAGCCCTAATAGTGTGTGTTTGGGTATTGTGTGTGACATGAAAGGACCAAGAGAAGCTGCGTTCAGCTGTCGACGTGATTCGCAGTTCATCCATCAGTATCGTGAGCAGCAGCAGCAACATGGACTTCAGAAATGCCTGTCTGAACAGCATGAAGGTGTGAAAAAAGTTTTAAAATGCTCATGCAGATATTTATATAAACAATAAAATAGTTATTCACTTTCACATCTCGTCATTAGTAAAAGACACCAAGCAAAGATATTAGCAGCTACACTGCAAATACATCTTTTACATACAAAGATAAACACGCATCCATGTTGATCCTGTCTGTCAGATATCTGTACATAATGTATGTGTTTATCAGGTGCATGACACTCATGAACTGTCGGCCTCCCTCTCTGAATCTCTGAGGAGGGTGACATCATGGAAATTCACCCCCAGGGGCAGGTGCTACTCTGTTCAGGTGAGTGGAATGTTTGTTTTTTGACACCTACTAGTTTCTATAGCAGCGCTTCATTACTGTCAGACCTCTGATTTTGTACCATAATCTAACACCACATCATTGCTTCCACAGATGGAAGAACATCCTGAGAGTGATGGGGCCACGAGAACAGAAATCTGAGACTGTCTGTGTTTTTCTAGAATGAGTTTTGTTCCATTTGAAACCTGTGGAAGGAGTTAACACTAGGATGATTATTTTGCAGTTTAGTGTGGCAGTAGTGCATGTTGTAAATATGCCGGTAATGGCTGAAATAGCTATTTATTTAACCTTTAATTTTAAAAATACACTGGGCTTATTATAGTTTGTGTGTTATACCAGATGTGATTGATTTTTACACAGTTCTAAGATATAAAATATTCTAAAAGAGATCTATATAATACATATATATAAGGTCTGCAGCTAACAGTTATTTTCATTATTATTATTTCATATTTTTGATCTGATTAATCTCTTTTCTCAATCAAAATACTGTGATACTTGCCCGTGAAAATATCCTGAACCAGGTGACATCATTATATGTCATATTTTGTTTGATCAACACTCCAAAACGAATTCAATTTACTATAATGTGAAAAAAGGCTAATTCTCACATTTGAGAAGTTGAAAGGATTACATTTTTGGTATTTTTATTTGAAAAATAAAATGATTAATCATTTGTCAAAAACGTTTTTGTTTTCTCTTCCGTCAACTACTCGTTCAGTTGACTCATTTCTGATCTGAAACACTCCTTTGTTGATGTTTTTTTTTTTATTATGTAGCCCGAAATAAACAATATGGTACAGTAGCATGGGCATCTACAGTGTTTATATTCCTACTGACGCTGTAAGGTTGCATTATATACCTCCGCAGTTACTGCTATTGTTTGTAGTTGAACAGGGAAAAACAAATTAAACATGAAAGTATTCGTACAGCCCCGGCTAACAGGGTGAACATTCTCACAGTGACCAATAGGTGGCAACAGAGACTTATTTTTTCGGCACTGCTAACTTCCGCTTGTTATTGTTTTTGGATGTGACGCAAGTTCCGGCCGCCAACACCGACAGCGCTTTTTCGCGGTAAAATGAAATGTGCATCTAATGTTGGTCAGATTTAGTCACAGCTCTCACATCTTCCACCAAACTAAGCTGGAGCAAACTGCCGTAGCTGGTGTTTAGAAGTTGCATTGTTGAGAATTGGTTCGACGTCGTTGTTATGAAGTGAGACGAAAGCTAACGTTGCGCTCGAGCTTCTTACGTTTGAATTCCTCCATATTTACAACACAGTGTCTAGTGACTATACAGCATAAAGCAATGGCAGAACTATCTGCAGAAACCCTAAAATCAGAGCTGGAAATTTTCGGCATACCCTACCAGGATGACTCGGTCCTCGACAAGAGTAAGTAGCTAACATCTGCTAATTTTTTCAATCTTAGCTGGAAAGCAGCCAGTACCTCAACAACCGTCCAACAGGGTTCAACGTTATGTGACTGTATTGCTACATTGCGATGTTTGGTCCCATCTGCTATAGAGTAAACTACAGTATGTCTCTATTATGTGACGGATTTTATGAGGTGTCTTGTCACCTGTGCTCCATCCCAATGTATGGGCTTTTATGTTGTGTTTTGTCTTTCTGTAAACATCTACATCACTTTCCAGTGACTGCAGATGAACATTTGCATTACTGTCAAATGCAAAAGTGTTTGTGCACTTCATTCATTCTCAATTTAAATGTTCTTATATCAGAATGTAAAGGCAGACTTTAGAAAAAAAAAACCTGCACAACAATTATGCCACCTGTTATCCTCCTCATCCTCTGATTTATAGTTTTATTTTCAGTAACTGTTGTAATGTCGTATTTATGGTCCCTCAGTGTGTTTGCAGCTTGCTTTACGTTTCACTTGCTGTCCTTCCTTCTGTCCTTCAGTGGTGGAGCAGTGTATTTGTAGCAGGTTACAGATAGACAAGATAGTGCTGGAGTGGGTGGCCTACAGCAGCACAAAAAATGGATTGAAACTCACCCTGGACAACCTGGAGCAGTTTGAACATGAGGTGACAGGCTCATACTGAATTTGTTATATTTTTCCAGTCAATAAAGTAACCACATTTATTTGTGACTCTACCATTTTGTACTCATCTGAATTGGTGGGAACCCCTAGGAAACCAATTTACAGTGTGTGTGTGTCTATCTTCTTTGCAGGTGTTGAACAAGAGGAATAAACAAAGCTTCAGAATAGAAGAAACTCATAACAGAACCAGAGACATCAACTCTCTGCAGGACTTGTATCCTTCACAGTGAACTCTCGGAACAAAAAACACACTTGATTATCCAGCTGCTCCTCCTTCTGGATTTACCTGTTGTCTGTGATGAGTGTCTTGTTACTGTCAACATGTTGACCAGACCTTAACATCATTTCTTCAGAATCAAAGCTGAGGAGGAGGAGGACGATCTACTAGATTCCTACTCTACCCCTGCAAAGGTAAATTTTGATGACAACTTTTATTTTTTACTCCTGTTCACTCTCCATTCACTTAGAAAAGATGAATTAGTATAGGTGTGGCTCACTAGCTGTCCATACAGTGAGTCTGAGCATGTTTGTGTTTTCTGTATGCTCTGCTCTGACCATGTTTGTTTACGTCTGTGCAGGGCTCTCAGAAACGAGCACTGACCACTCCCGAACACCCTCGTTCAAAGAGGAGTGCAGCTCTGCTGGCCAGCCCGGGCCTGCTGCTGTCTCCTGCCAGCTTCTCTCCCAGGTATTCAGCAGTGCAGACCAACAGCAGCCAAATCCCCACAAATACGCTCTGCTTCCTGGTTTTGATATTGGTCAACTGTTAAGAAAAAACATACTTAAGATTTATTCAGTCTTGCCTTGTATTGAAATCACTTTCTTGTGTGAACTAAGTGAACAATATCTGCTTGTCTGTCGTGTTTCCAAGTGTAATTTAATTAGTCAGACAGTCTCTTTTTTTTTTACAGTGAAAAGTTATAGACTTGATTTTGATGACTTTCACAGTAAGAGTAAACTTTATATATCACTTTTCAGAATCCTCAAATTAAATAAGCATGAGTTGTATAATCGACATAATAAGCCAAAAAAACGTTAAGTTAGCCTTTAACTTGACCTAATTTTGGAGCCATGACAACAAGAGAAAATTACCTTTTTTGAACCATAAGACTGAATCACTTGATAAAATGGACATTTGTTGCACTGTGACCAGACTCTGCCCTTCCTCCCATGTCTCTCTGCAGTGCAACTCCCTCACAGAAGTACAGCCAGCGAGGGGGGAAAGGGGAGGTGGTGGTTACATTTGGGGCTGTGCAGGGCACCCGCTGGGTAGGCAGGAAGGCTCCGGGTGAAGGCGTCCAGCTGGAGCTGCTGGAAGGTCCTGAAGACTCCCTCCGCTGCAGCTACAAGTACATGTTCCAGAGGCTGCGAGATGTTCGAAATGGTATGTAGCTGTACAGATTTATTCAACGTCATCAATCTCAGACATCTTGACACTTACTGTCTGTAAAAAAAAAAAAAAACAAAGGCTCCCCTTAATGTATAGATGTAAAAACATACATTAAAAGTAACTGAAAATCCAGATCAGCTAAATGGAGACAGTAGAAATGCCTGAAGCCTGTAATACATATTTTTGCATCTCTCCTCCCCAGTGTTGACAGAGAAGATAGAGGAGCTGGGAGAGGGCCTCAAGTCTCACTTCAGTATCGAAGAGTTCTCCCCTGTCTCTCTGCCCGCGCAGGTACAGAGGTTTGATTGTTGTGGACATCTCATTTAATCACAGAAGCTTAAACCTGTTTTTGAAGTTTTGATTAGATCTTATATTTTATAATATAAAATTAGCCTAAAAGTTTTTTAATGTGAATGTGTTAACTGCTAAACTTGTACATTGTAATGAGCTTTTGATTGTTTTGAACTTGGATTCAGGCACATGAATGTAAGTTTTCTCTTATGTTATAAAACTGTTGTAGAAATGTCCTAGTATGTGGATAAAACGTGCCTCGACTAGGCTTCTACTGTGTAATCCGCATTTGTTGTTTTATGTGACTAAAACAGATACAGCTCAGTTATATCTTTGTATAACTATTACCTGACTGCTCAGTTTGTTGTGTTTCTCCACCTGTAGGACAGTGTAACAGTGCTGGGACAGGTGTGCTGCGACAGCAATGGCAAACTGAACGCGCAGTCAGTTCTGCTGGAGGCGGGACCAGAGCAAGGTGGTCAGCAAGTACCTGTTGACCTATCGGAGCTCAAAGAGTACTCCCTGTTTCCTGGACAGGTGCGCAGAAGGAACACAATTGTTGTGATAGATCAAGCTACAAATGGGTCTGCTGTGAATGTTGTTTTAGCTGTATTAGGAAATATTTTTTGACATTGAACCAAATGTCTCCTGCATGATTCTCCTCTAAGATGTGCACCCATCTCTGCAGCTCTATGCTACTATTATCTGTCATGTATTCTACCATTGAGAGTCACTCGATTAAAATGCACACACCGTAATGAAGTGATGAACGCACACTGAGTGGTGGGCTCTCCTTTGCCTGTGCACTGAGGTTTGTGTGCAGCAGGTTATATGTCCACCAAGAGTAACAGAGCATGCCAAGGACCTGGGCTGGAGACTCACCCAGCGTCTGACCGAGAACTCTGACAAAAACAACCGTTCCCACATAAGAATCAATAACTGCCTCCCTGCGGTGTATGAGACTGCTGTGCGGGAAGGAGCACAGATTCATCCCCTTGTCTGTCCTCTTCCTACAGGTTGTAATGATGGAGGGAATGAACACAACAGGAAGAAAACTGGTGGCTTCCAAACTCTATGAGGTCAGCTACAAGTTAACAAGTGCTGACACATGAGCGAGTCAAAGATGAAGCCTTTTAAAGCCACATTTACTTGAAATGTTTAAAAATGACGTTCTTTTAGAGCTGAGACCTGTTTGTGTATCTTCTGTTAATGGTCTTGTCTTTTTTTTCCTTTCTTAGAGTGTCCCACTTCCTTTCTACACTTCGGAGGTGAAAATGGAGATGGATGAAGGTAAGCAACAATGTCGGTTTAAACGCATCATACAGGTATCACTGTATCCTGTTACTGACTTGTTTAACTAGACATGGATCTTACAATAATCTCCAGTGACTGAATGATGCAGAGAACTC